GACAAAAAGTAATATGTTGGGTGGGGGATATAGCTCTGAGTTGGTAGAGGGCTTGCCTCAAATGCACAAGGCCCTGGGTTCAAACACCAGCACCACACATACACAAAAAAAAAATAAAAAATAAATTACTAAAAAGTAACGTTTACAAGGATGCAGAGAAAGCAGAATTTTTGTACACTTTGTACACTGTTGGTGTGAATGTAAATTAATATAGCCATTATGGAAAATGCTATGGATGTTCAAAAAACTAAAAATATAACTACCATATGATTCATTAGTCCCACTACTAAGTATATAGCTGAAGGAAATGAAATAATTATATCAAAGAGACACTTGCACTCCCATGTTTATTAGAGGATTATTTACAGTTGCCAAGATATAGAGTCAGTTGAATTGTCCACTGACAATTGAATGGGTAACGTGGCATATGTACACAATGGAACGTTATTTAGCCATAAAAAGGAATGAAATTATATAATTTGCTGCAACATTTTATATTGAGTGAAATAAATAAGGCCCAGACAAATACTACTTTCTCTTGCTCATAGGTGAAAGCTAAAAGTTGATTTTGTAGAAGTAGAGAGTAAATTAGTGGCCATTAGAAATAAAGAGGGTAGGGAGATAAGAGATAAAGATTGGCTAATGGGTACCAAAATACAATGACATGGAAAAGAATTAAGTTCTAATGTTTTATAGCATAGTAGGGTGACTATAGTTCATGAGAATTTATTATATATTTTGTAAAAAACTGGAAGAGAGTTTCCCAACACAAAGAAATGATAAGTGTTTAAGGAGATAGAAATTCATATTGTTCTGATTTGACCAGTCAAAATTGAATATATGGGTCAAATTATCAACACTATATACAACAAATATGTATCATTATTATATTTGATGAAGAAAATACACAAAACAGGCATATTTCCGTATAAGAGGGCAAATAATAATGGTGACATCAAATTTGTTACTGAAAAACCAATAGGAGCCAGATTTTAGTGGAGAAATATCTTTAACAAAAGAAATTGTCAACTTAGAATATACCTGGCAAAAATATTTTTCAGAGATGATTGTGAAATGTAGGCGTGTTCAGAAATATAAAAATTGAAAGAATTTACAATTAGACCCACACTACAGGCAATGTCAAAGGCATCCTTTGGGCAGAAGTAGAATAATAGCCACCATTACACTGAAGCAAATCCTAGACATCATATGTATCTCTAAAGGATAAAGACTTTTTAATTTAAACCAGAATAGTGTTATACCTTAAAAATAAACAGTTCCTTAATAACAAAATGTCTAATCAACGTTCAGATTTCCTACATTGTCTCATGATCTTTTTTATAATTTTTAAGAACAGAATCTAAACAGTTTTTGTCTTGCATTTGGTGACATATTTCTTAAACTCTCCTCTAAAAAGTCTTTATTTGTGGTTAACATCCTACATAATATGAAATTTACCCTCTTACCATTTTAAATGGACAGTTTGGTAGTATTAATCATGTTGACATTGTTGTGTAACAGATATTTAGAACTTTTTCATCTTGAAGTTATTACAGGGCTAGGGCCTTCTGGAAAATTGAGGCAGTGAGAGGACAAGCCATTGAAACCCCAGTTCTTATGCTCAAGTCAAAAAGATTTCAGACGTGTTGCTTGGAGTAACAGGCATGAATTTATTAAAAGAGATGGAAAAGCAGAAAGGGGGCCACTCCCAAGGAAGAGAGTCACTTCTCAGAGAAAGACAGCATGCCTCTCCTTGACTGTAGTTTTATTGGGGTCCCAAGGAAGTTTCCAGAGTCCTACCCAGGTCCACCTCTTGACTTTTGAGTGACAGCAGAATGACATGAGACTTTCAAGTCCCCACTGCTGTGACCACTCTAGATCACTTTGGCCCACATTGACATTCTAATTAGAACCCTACAGATTCCAGTGTTCTTATGGTTGGGAGGAATTAATCCTTCTCTTCTTGAATTCTGGAATCTGGTCTCTGTAAAAAGGGTTAAAAAACCCCCCACTTCAGGATAACTTATGTTCCTCTTATCGGAATTATTTTGGGCCTCCATATTTCTCCTGCAGATAATGGTAATTTGCTGAGGAATGTAACACATTCTGTCCACTTAAGCCAGGCAGGGCTGCGGGCGCTACATTGCTTTTCAAAGGTGAAAGCAGGGTGAAGGTCAGCACAGTGGTCTCATTTTATAGAATTACTCCTTTGATCTCATATTCCCACCAATCATGTCTTCGTCCCCTATAAAAGCTATAGAACATTAAAGAACTATTCCTAATTTCTTCTTCCCCAAGACCCCTTTCTGTTTCCATGTTTTTGACTTCCCTAGAAATCTTATTTAAGTGGAACATACAATGTTTGTCTCTTTGTGACTGGTTTATTTCATTCAGCATAGTGTCCTTAAGGTTTATCCATGTTGTAGCATAAACTACAGGATTGCCTTCCCTTTAAGGATGAGTAATATTTGGTTGTACATCTCAGTGCATTTTCTTTATCCATTTATCTGAATTGGTGGACATTTGGACTGCTTCTACCAGTTGGCCATTTTGAATAATGTTGCAGTGAATATGGGTATGTAATGTCTCTCTGATATTCTGCTTTAAAATTCTTTTAAATATATACTCAGAAGTAGTACAGCAGGATTATATGACAGTTTTGTTTTTGTTTTTTTTTTCCTAGAAATTTCTTTACTGTTTTCTGTAGGAATTGCACATTTTATGTTACATCCAGCAGTGTGCGAGGTGTTCCATTTTTTTTCACATACTTGTCAACACTTGTTTTCTGTTTTTTGATAGGGGCCATTCTAATGATTTCTCACCTTTTTTTTTTTTTTGTATCGAGAAGTAATGTTGACCATTTTTTTCATATCCTTAATGTCATTTGTGTATCTTAGGAGAAATGCCTATTCAGCTCTTATTTTAAAATTGGGTGTTGAGTTGTAGGAGTTTGTTGTATATTTTGGTATTCAAATCCTTATCAGATATATGATTCACAGTCATTTTCTCCATTCTGTAGGTTGCCTTTTCACTTTATTGTCTAATGTGCAGAAGTTTTAAGGTTTAATATAGTCCTTTTTGTTTATTTTTTTCATCCTTTGTGAGTTTGATGTCATTTCTGAGAAATCATTGATATTTGGTGTTGAAAAGATTTTCTCCTCTCAGAGTTTTGTAGTTAGACTGAGGATTAAACCCAGGGCCTTACATATGGTAGGCAAATTCTTTATCAATTTTAATCTATTTTGAGGTAATGTTTGTATAAGGTTTATGGTAAGGATTCACCTTCATTCTTCTACACATAGATGTCTTGTTTTCTTGACACCATCACTAATAACTTTCGCCACCCGATTTTTCTGTTTTCTCATTTATTCCTTGGAAAGATGGTGTTAGAGAAGACATTTTCCTTGTGGAACCTATGAGTCTGAATGAGTATGCCATTTAAAGTGTTCCTTGGCTCCCATATTTCATAAGAACTCATAGTTAAATATAAAGACTTGGTTAGATACAGTTTGTTTTTTTTTTTTTTTAACAAGGAGACTTTGTAGATGACACTTTACTTCCTTGAGCATCACATTTTTAAAAATTTGTTTTAATTAGTTACACATGACAGTACAATGGAGCATCACATTTAAAATCACTCTCTTTTTGTGATGTTATTGATATTGCTAACATGATCTATCTACTATAAAGAGGCCCCACCAGCCTTTCACCACAGATTTTAGCAGCTTTCGATGATCACTGCTAAGGTCTACTACTTTAATAGTAGCTGTAGTGATAATTCCCTCTACTTTTATTAGCCTGTACTTTTTAAAAAAAATTTTTTAGTTGTAGATGGACACAGTGCCTTTATTCATTCATTCATTCATTGGGGGGTACTAGGGATTGAACTGAGGGGCACTCGACAATTGAGCCGCATCCCCAGACCTATTTTTTTGTATTTTATTTAGAGAGAGGGTCTCACTGAATTGTTTAGCACCTCGCTTTTGCTGAGGCTGCCTTTGAACTTGAGATCCTCCTGTCTTTTTGCACAAACTGCACCTGGCTTTCAGGATTCTTAAGGATATAATGAAAAGCACTTTATTAGGCTGACTTTGGAAAGAATATTTTCTTTGCCTATGCAAATTAATCAATTCTTTTTTTTTTTTCTTTTTTTTCTTTTTAATACTAGGGATTGAACTCAGGGGCACTTGACCACTGAGCCACATCCCCATCCCTTTTTTGTATTTTATTTAGAGACAGGGTCTTATTGAGCTACTTAGGGCTTCTCTAAGTTGCTGAGGCTAGCTTTGAATTCCCAAGCTTCTGGGATTATGGGCATGTGCCTGCCTCAATTCTTTTATTTTTTTTTTTTTTTATTTTTTTTTTTTAAATATTTATTTATTTATTTAGTTTTCGGCAGACACAACATCTTTGTTTGTATGTGGTGCTGAGGATCGAACCCGGGCCGCACGCATGCCAGGCGAGCGTGCTACCACTTGAGCCACATCCCCAGCCCCCCTCAATTCTTTTAAAATAGGATTCTAGTACTCTTGTCACTGATTACTGGAGAGCTTAAGAAGGTCAGAAAAACTCCAGTCTACTGTTCTTGAGAGTTAAAATGGAAATATTAGTCATTCTTACCTTGTTTATATTCTCATTTTTCCTGATGTATTGTTAAGACGATCTTGTTGCTTACTTTATGAGGGAAATGGTCAAGTTTGCCATGTTCTTTTCCTTTCCTTTTTAAAATTTTTTCCCCATATCATGTATTGTCAGGCCTCTTATATCATCAAGTATTGGTTATACATATTGTGATATAGTTATTTGTATTAGATTATAAGACTGGAGCAATCTACAATTGTTCCTCATCAGTTAAGGGTGAAAGTAGTACAAACTTCAGGATTTTTAAAATGACTCTCAAAGAGTTCCATCCCCTTTTCTTTTTAAATCAAGTGCCTAGTATTTGGATGTTCAAGTCCCTTGTGTAAGAATTACATTAGTAACCGTCTTTATTTTTTCAGTTATTCAAGCGAAGAAATGTTGCTACTGCAGAAGAAGAAACAGAAGAAGAAATTATGTCAGATGGTGGCTTTCATGAGGCCCAGATTAATAACATGGAGATGGCACCTGTAAGTAAAACAATAACAACAACTCCTTTTGGTGTTTTTGTGATAAATATAATGAGAGCTAGCGAGAGCTTACGCGTGCGAGCTTGTGGGTGCTCTCTCTGTCTCTCTCTACTAGGGATTGAACCCAGGGCCTCATGCATGCCAGGCAAGCAACTTACCACTGAGCTACATTCCCAGCCTTTATATCTCTTTTTGAGTTTAATAAAAAGGTTAAGTTAGATAGCTACAGAAATTACTTAGCATTTCATTTTGAAAGAAACTGCATATTTGTTCTTCATGGTTTATTAAATGTTTATTGTATTTTGGACCGTGTACAATTAAACAAAATTAAGTTATAAAGATTAATTTAGCTATAAACTTAGAATATAGATAATGCTGTCATCATTTCTGTGGTAGTTGCTTTTAGAGCTTTCACAAGGTTTTTCCAATTTTTAAAAAATGTGTATGAAATGAATACAGTGTTATAGACTGTATCAGCCTGGGTTCTTCAGAGAAAACCAGTGAGAGAGAAAAGATTATTTAAAGGAAGTGGCTCACTTGATTGGGAGCTGGCAATTTGAAATCTGTAGGCGGAGAAATTAAAGAAAGAGTCGATGTTGCCAGTAAATGTTGCCAGTCCAAAGGCTGGATTCCTTTTTTGGAAATTCTTTGCTCTTAAGGCATGAACTGAGAGCATGAGGCTAATCCATATTATGGGGAGCAATCTATTTCATTCAAATGTAGTGATTTAATGTTAATCACATATAAAATAATGATATCTAACATCTAGACTGGTATTTGACCAAATAATTGAGTACCAAAATTATCATATTCTATTTCTTGTCTATTTAGTATCTATATGTATCTTCCTGGCACCATATTGTGTCTCAAAGACAAACAAAAGTTGTGTCTCCACTTAAGATGATACAATTCTCTTGCATATAGCTAAAAATATACCAATCCTTTCCCCTTGGGTAATAATGGTATCCTATAACTTAGATACCATGTTGTAAAATCTGCTTGGCTTTTAAGAGGATGAGAGAAAAGAAAAAGAGAGTTGCTTACTATATATACATGTTTGAGTGTAAGACATGGTCGTAGCAGTCATTTAGGTACCTTGGTTTATTCAGAAATTGGTCTTGCATCTTTGAAAATAGTTGCTTTTCTGACTTCCCAGAAGAATGCTTTATACATTCCCTAGTGGGAGTTCTTAATGTTACATATTGTTTACCAACCATCCAACATTTACAACTCAGTTGTTGCTTTCTTAAAATAAGAATTTTGTATCATTGTGACAAATGATTTTGAGAAGAAAGTTAGTTGCTCATACTGGGCATGGATTACAACAGGAAATGGAAAAATAATAAGGCAAGAAAATAATGGGAAACTACAAAGTTTTAATAAAGCAAGAAAGTAGTTTTAATGAAGAAGCAAGGAAATAAAATTTTTATTTATTTATTTATTTTAGGGTACTGGGGATTGAAATCAGGGGCACTTGACCACTGAGCCATATCCCCAGCCCTAGTTTGAATTTGTTTTTAAGAGATAGGGTTTCATTGAGTTGGTTAGCACCTCACTTTTGCTGAGGCTGTCTTCAAACTCTCGATCTTCCTATCTCAGCCTCCTGAGCTGCTGGTATTACAGTGTGCACCATCATGTCTGCCAGGAATTTTAAATAAGTTTAAAAGTCAGCTGTAGATTTTGGCAGTGGCTAGAATCCACAGTCTATTTTTTTAGTAAAGATTTGTTGAGCATCTACTATATGTTAGCCAATAGTGATAGAATGGTAAAATGGAGAGTCCTGATTTGAACATTACACAGTTGTGTACATGTAGTGAAATATTACATGGTATCCATTGATATGTACACCGTTTTTATGTCAGTTAAAAATAAGTCAGTTGTAGAATTGATCAGTATCTGATATGTATCAGTTAATCCCCCCACCCTCCCCAAAAAAGTGTGTGTGTGTGTGTGTGTGTGTGTGTATCTTTGGATTTCAAGGAGAAGTATCAGGAAAAATGTCTAGTAATGATGAGTTGGGCATGGAATTAAAAATAGGTCGCGTGAGAGCAGCTGCTTCAAGTTTAGAGGTCTTGAAAAACTGTCTTTCAGAACTTAACCTTTTAATTGTCATAACAAAGAACAACCAGTCATGTATTAAGCAAGGAGACGAAGATTTTTGCTTTAGTATTTACTACTGACATTATTTTTTCACTATTGTGAGCTTTTAAATCAGAATGAGAATTTGGCTTCATTGCATTACTAATCTTACACATTTTTGCATGTAAATATTCATCTACTTTATGTAATTTCTTGAGAAATGTGACAAACTAGGTAACTTGGCTATAATTTATACTAGCTTTATTGTCCTGTGAATTAAGATAGTATTTTAAATTTGCTTTTTGTTTGTGATCTCAGGGTGGTGTTATTACTTCTGATATGATTGAAATGATATTTTCCAATAGCCCAGAGCAACAGCTTTCAGCAACACAGAAGTTCAGAAAACTACTTTCAAAAGGTGAGCTCTGCATATATTGAGTCTATCTTTTTTTTAAATCTTTTTGTAAAATATTCCCATAATTTATTTTCACATCACAGATAATTTGTTTTGGAGTGTGTTTTATCAATACAAAATAGAGACACACACAGACATATAATTGTGAAAAGTGCCTTTTCATTTTCTTATTTATGGGACTACCAAGATCAGGAGGCAGCATTTTTGAACTAACTTATTATACTAGTAATCAACATCTTATTTTAATTAAAACTAAAGCTCCACCTTATTTATAGAAAAACTTAAATAACATTACTTGAAAAAGTAATAATTGCCAGTTTTCTTGTTTACAGTTTTACCAGTGTACCACTGAAAATATGGGTTTAAAAGGTGGGTAAGGTTGTACCCATTTCTGGTATAATTAATGTAGATCAGAATATCATACTTGTTGTAGACATGGGCAAGTGAAAATAACAATTGTATTAAAGTGTTGATAGCAAATACTTGAATTATGGTTATTTAGAATCATTAGTGATTAAAAAAAATTGTACATCCCTTGAGATTAAATGGAATAAAAACCTACCATCATAATTTCTTTTGCCTGAACAATTTATTAAATATTTGAAGGAGAAGTACACCTTTCTACCCCTCTAAAAATGTGTTTGTCTATTTTCAGTAAGCTGAGCCTTATGATTTTCTCATGATATAACTTTTTTTAAAAAATATTTATTTTTTAGTTGTAGTTGGACACAATACCTTTATTCCACTTATTTATTTTTATGTGGTGCTGAGGATCAAACCCAGGGTCTCACACGTGCGAGGCGAGCACTCTGCAGCTGAGCTCTAGCCCCAGCCCATATGATATAACTTTTTAAGGCCTTTTGCCATTCTTCTATTTTCCTGCTTGTAATCTAGTTTGCTAGCATCACTCTTAAATGATAATTAGAATACAGTACTCCAGATGTGTTCTTATTACTATAGAATATGGTAAGAGATTACCTTCTTTTTAAAACTATCCATTCCAGGAATTAATTCAAGTTAGCATTAGTTTTCTGAGAGTCATGGCTTAGTAATATTTCATTGGATTTTCAGCAAACTAAGTTTCCTACACTTCGTTAACTGTAATTAATTTGTGTGGGAAATTATGTAGATTTTAAAAAATACAGTTCATAAACCAGATGTTGTGGCACATGCTTATAGTCCCAGTTTATTCTTGGGGAGGCTGAGGCAGGAGGATCACTTAAGCCCAGAAATTTGCTGCTAATTTGGGCAATTTAGAACCTGCCTCAAAAAAACAGAGGGCTGGGGATATAGCTCAGTTGGTAAAGCGCTTGCCCTGGATATACAAGGCCCTGGGTTCAATCCCCAGCACCAAAAACAAATAAAAAACCCACAACAGAAAAAAGTTGCTGAATTTTTGCTTTATTCCTGTTGTTTTATTGCCAATTTTTGATGTATTCTTTTTGCATATTATTTCTATAATTCAGCATATTACAAGTAGTGTATTGTTACTATCACATTTGTTTTTTATATTTATTAGAGTGGTTAATAAAAATGTTGAACCAGATAGGGTTTATCATTAGAGCCTCCTCCTCCCCAAATCAACATTGTACCATTAGTCACTTGAGAGCCTCCTGTCTTAGCCTTCTGATTATAGGCATGTGCTATCACTCTCAGCACATTAGTCACTTCTTTAATAAGGCTAAGGCTCTCCAGATAGTACTGTGATCTGCATTTTTCAGGTATTACCATATACATTGTCAAAAACTCAGATCTCTTCCTGAAATTATTAATCTGATTTGTCTGACTTTTCTTATTTAGTCACCCAATAAGTAAATAAGTTGAGTGACTCCCTTTATAAGATAACGTTTTGTCATAAATGAAAATGAGATTAATTTGATAAATCAATTGTAGTGAATTTTTATTGGCTTCTCTTTATAACTGCACTTGTTAAATCCTTTAAGCACAGAATCCTATAATTCAGCTTCTTAAGGTAATATATAATAACAGACTAAAAGCTCATGTATGAAAAAGGGGCTAGAAGACAGTATACTAAAATACTAACAGTAGTTGTCTTTGGAAATTTTTTACCCCCTATGTTCAAAGTTTCCTAAAAAGTAGAGGCAGTAATTTTGATTTTTGCAAATTTGTAGGATTTGGGGGTGAAGTTTACCTAGCATCACAAAAAACAAAACCAAAGAATTCTGTTCACTCTTTTATTTCCATATTGTGTGAAACCTTTAAAAACTACTCTTGTCCCAAAGTGTTCAAATGCAGTTTCACTTTTTTTTTGTTTTGGTGGTTTTCCAATATGAAAGAGCTGGTAAATGAAGGGAGGAGTATTATAAATTAATGTTAAATTGAAAAGTTCTTGCACTGAAGTCAAAGGATTGTTTTTCTTCTTTCCTTTCATTTTATGGGGAAACAGAACCTAATCCTCCTATTGATGAAGTTATCAGCACACCAGGAGTAGTGGCAAGGTTTGTGGAATTCCTCAAACGAAAAGAGAATTGTACACTGCAGGTGCGGACCATTTTCATTTCTTGCGTCATAACTTAGTTTTCCTTGAACTTTCATTATGTAAATGATTTTTTTTACATGCTTAACCTGTATGAAGAGATTGAGTTTGTTGATAATGAAATTTATGACAACTGCATTGCAGGCTTCTTTTCCAGTTTTGTTAACATAGTAGACCCTTATTACACTCTCTCAAACTTATGTTTCTAGTCTTTTAAAAAGTTTTATGATGATTGTAGATGATGTAATATTTGTAGATTATAGGTAATCTAATAGGGAAACCTTTGCTGTAGAGAAACCATTATAAACAGGAATCAATATGTGAGCTACCTAAAATTTGGTTTTGAGGAATTTGTAGATTATATTTGTTGGCTTTCTCAAGATGGTAAGGGCAAGGGATATAGCTCAGTTGGTAGAGTGCTTGCCTCACATGCATAAAGGCCCTGGGTTCAATCCCTAGCACCACACACACACACACACACACACACACACACACAAAGGTATTACATGGTCTGATCATATACTTGATAATCCTGAAATCTGATTCTGATGGTCCTCCTTTTACCCCAGAAGAGCTGACAAGGAGAGATAGCTTTGTCAGGAATTATACTTTCTGGTATGTCAATTTAATCTTTCGGTATTGTGCTATAAGAATTCCAAGAGGGAATTCTCCAATTTCTGGATTGAATAATTTTCACAGTGAAAGAAACCACTGTCAACTGACTAATCCTTGGAATTATCTTAAAAATTTTAAATAGTGTGTGTGTGTGTGTGTGTTTTTTTTTTCCTCCTCAATAAAGTTGGATTTTTGGTAAAGTGGTGATTGGTCATAGCTAGATTTCCTTGAAGTAGCCAGCTGAATTACTACTTGTATCATTAACTATACTTGTGATTTCTGAATTTTCACTGAAGTATCTAATCTGAAAGACCCAGACCCTTTAAAGAGACTCTGCAACTATAAAATTTGTTAGGTACCAAGTAGATCACAAATTGGAATTATTTTTCCAAGTAAATCTTTGCCAATAACAAGTTAATCATAAAGATAATCCCTTTCCACCCACCATGGACTTTTTGCCTTAAGACTGGTGCCATGTAGGGACTGGGACCTTTTTAATGCTTTGTTGATATTTTCTCTCCTATCGTCCTATCCCATCTTTCTCTTTCTGTTTACATCATTATTGCGGTGATGAGTTTCTTCCAGAGGAAAAACAAGAAATCCAGAAAAGGTAGAGTACTTTGATGTCCCATCAGTTTTTCTTCTCCAGTTTGACATATATCAATCCCTGTGTTTATTTGAATTAAGATTCTGTTTTGCTAGCTGCCTCCTGGATTGTAATTCTGGTCCCCCATATAAGGCCAGAATCACCAGACACCTAAAACATTATGTTCACCCTGAGAGCAAGGGAAGAGAGAGACTTTTCTCAGAAAAAAGGAAATCCAGAAAACCAACACTGCAGAGAACAGAGCCTGAGCCCCTAAGCAAGCTGCCAAGCAAACCAGAGGGACCAAATGAGGAGCCTTACTGCAGTTTATCATTTGAAATTCTTTTAGGAAAAGGGAGGTAGGGAAAATTATCATTTGTTCATGCTGAAAAAAAAAAAAAAGTTTCTATCCTGACTGGGGATGAGAATAGTTGAGAGATACTGGTTTTACTCCTGGATCTAGCAGTTTTTAGTAGGTGTTTGCAGAGGTTCAATTCTTCATGCATTAAAGAAAGAAAGTATAACCTAAAATGAAAAAAGAAATAAGTTGTTGCTTAACTCTACATTGTCCTATACTCTATGAAAGTCTACATGTACATCATTTTTTCATTTAATACCTTAATCCTGGAACACACCTAAAGATGAAAGCCTTCAGAAACATCTAATTTGTTTCTATCTAAATTTCTAGGTTCCACCCTCTGCTAACTAATAATTAGGTTGAAATACTGAAAAATTATTCCTCTGGAAGTGACCACCTCATGATTTTCACCTGAGCTACTCTAAAACTGAGAAAAAAAATATTAAACCTGTTTGTTACCTAAGGGTTGTCATTTCCAGGTTTCTTCTGAGCATATTTAAGCACAAAATGGTATTCTTTCTCCAGTGTAAGTAATGGGTAACCTTGACTTCCTCTGAAGCAAGAGAAGCAAGTTTATTATTTAGGGAGACATTAGAGCCAGGAGACTTCATGGTCTGCCCTGTCTTCAAATAATTAGGTGTGTTGGAAAGCTCGTACTCTTACCTGTTTTCTTGGAGAGAACTAGAGTGTACATCCTTGATACTACTGCCCGCTTACTAGAGAGATGAACAGTATATCTTTGGAATACGGTTTTTGTCATTTCTCTTCCAGAAAGAGAGTCAATACTATATGGTTCCAATAGGAAAATTAGTGGCTCAACCCATTGATAAACTCTGGAAAATCTTAATTTCTTCATTCTATATCTAAGGAGCTATAAATCGAGTGAAGGGTGTCTTCATTCCCATTCTGTCTTCCCAAATTGGTGAGACACCTTAAACAAGGCAGCTAAAAACGCCTGCTTTGGGTGTGGCTACTCAGTTACTGACCTGCCCTCAAAGTGGAGGTTAGCATGGGTGGAATCTAGGATGTTGGCAGAAAGCAATGCCATTAGCTAAGAGCATTTCTCAAGCTTAGTGACATCTAGGTCTTAGAGGCTTTGGCATGAGACTGGTCTGCTTTATGGTATGTTCTGTGGGCCCACTTTGTTTTTTTGAATCCGGGTTAGCATCTTTGTACTGTCTTTTACAGTGCTAAGATGTTCATTCCCAAACCTTATAGAAATTTATTTAAAAAGTCTAGAAATAATTAAATTACCTCTTGCTTAAAAGCACCAGACAGGTACTCCTGTAAAATTTGTAAATTTGAATTAGGTTAGCTCAGTTTCCCCTTTTCTGCCTTTCTGTCCCCCTTAATGTGAGAAACTGCAGTAAGCCTTCATCCTCCTGTGACTTTCCCCATCTTCAATGATCTCTCTACCTTTCCTGGAAGGTTGCTCAGATGACTCAGGCACTGTTCTCTGCAGAGTTTGATATCTGGGTTTATTTTTCTGATGTGAGCCTTTCTTTTCACTTGCTCTCCAGGTGAGCCTGGCATTTGCTAGGAACCAGAGTGGAACCGGCAAAGTGGCCAGCAACAGAGTCCTGATCCAAATGGAGAAAGGGAACCAGGCGTACATCAACCTGGAGTGGGAAACTTGATAGGAGGTCAGAAGTACTTCAGCTTTGGATTCTCATTTTCCTTATTTAAGGAACTGAGCGCCAGAAGGTAGAGACTTAAGAAAGGGGAGAGAGGAAGCATCAAATCTTCAGTGTGCAGCCTTCAGTTGTAGCCTTATTTAGCAAGATCCGAATAGTGAAAAATAGCAATTATCACTGCATGATAGGTGATTTTCCTTGTATGGTACCATTCTTGGAATATTAAGAATGCAGTAGTTTAAAACAAGAGGAAGTGAAGGTTACAGTTTTCTTGGTCGTCTTTTTTTTTGTTTTTTTTTTTTTTTACTTCAGGTGGCATCATTTATTAGATTTCTTTCCCTCTCTTTTCAGGTTACTGATTTTTTTTCTTGTTGTATAATTAAACTTAGTTTTCGTCTACTTTTATCATAACTATGTATTTTTATTTGCCATCAGTTCTGGGTTTTTCCATTTTGTAACTTTCAGGTTATATTCTAATCTAGCACCCAAAGCTGAAACATTAAAAAACAAAAACAAAAAACCCTGAAAATCTCATGGAAAAACAGCTTAAATTACATACAGACTGTGATGAAAGGAAAGTTATATGGTTCAGAGCACATCCAGTTTTTAAAGAATGTTCTTACATGTTAAGTATATTTGAAATTTGCTTCTTCCAACAGTAACAGGGTTTTATAGTTAGGAGTTCTTCTGACAAGAAAGAAAGAAACACACACACACACACACACACGGTTATAGAAAATTTAACACATGCAGCTTGAGAGTTTTTAGAAGGTTAAAAACACCAGTGTAATTGGCACCCTTTGTGTGTATGTTTTTTATGGCTTATTAGTGCATGAGTATGGGTGTCTTCCGTTGTCCTCTAATTATAGTTATTCATCTACTTCTGTCCTGGATAACAATAAAACTGCTTTTTGATTTCTTTTCTTGAATCTTATTTTCATTCAGAGGCTAGATCATCATTATGCACTTCTTAGTAATAATCATAACTCTTTGACACGTTCTACTAAGATACGCTTGTTTCTAATTTTTTTACCATCCATGTTCAGACTGTTTTTCACTTATTTTTCACTTCCCTAGTCACTGTCCCTATATTTAATTTCATTTCTCCATTTTATTCACTTGAATAGCTTCTGGAATTCCCTTTTATTTCCGCAGAGATCTTTGGAGCTTAACTCAGATAGCAGTTTGTACTCTGACAAACTTAGAATTATTTAGTATTTTAAGTATTTTTTTCTCACTGATAACTTTAATATAATCTTTGTTAACCGAGGTCATCAGCATTTCTTTTGCATCAAAATCTTAATGCCATCCTTTTCCTCTTCTATATGTTTATAGTTCTCATTCTCTCCAGATTGCTTTTCCTCAGTCTTCATTTCTTTTGACTTGATCTCTGTAGTATCTGATGATTATTCACTGAACTTTGAGCCTGCCTAGGTAGGACAGTCTGCTTTTATACTGATTTAGCTAATTAATTTTTCTAGTAAAAAATTAAAGTACATTTTAGGCAAAAAAAATTTTTTATATAAATAATCTGGCATACCTCTTTGAAATTTCTTGCCCTAGTTACCCAAACTAAAAGCAATTGAAATATTCTTATGCCAGTGTTACAGGTATGTTTCTGAGAGGAAAGGTAGCATACTTGATTAGGCGACTGTAATCTAGACCTTCTCTGGCTGACTGTATATATTACTCAAATCATTAGTCACATAGTTGGAACTTTTTCTGATAGCTTCTTCATTCATAACTAGAAAAACCAGACATCTTAACATCTTTGGGTTGTTAAGAGGATCACCTCAAGAGTATGTGAATAATTCTTTGAAAAATATAAAGTACTGTACAAATGTGAAGTTTAATTCAGACGGATTAAAAAGTGTTTGAGCATTGCTTTCATTAGCAATTTAACTACAGAGATGAATGTGTAAAGTGGTTGGGAGTCATCCCCATCTGCCCCCATGATTTCATCTGTGTCTCCTGAACTTTGATTATAACAAAACATTTTCAGATATAGTTTATGTTCTGTTTAACTGTGGTATTCCTAGTCTGGGCCTCCTCACTGGTATAACATTAGTGTCTAGGTTGACTATCAAGCCATTTTATCACACCTGTGTTTGTCACTTTTATAGGTTTTTTTAAACATCCCTTATTTTAATTGGCTTCTGTGAATTTGCTGTCATTCATACAGCTTTGTACTGTGCTGGTCAGATTGACTGTCCTCATCTCCTGTCTTCCTCTACCCCCATGATTGATAAGTTTTCCCTATGACTGTTGTTTTTTTAATTAATCCAAAAGCTTAGAAAAAGTCAAATGTACATTTTTGATGATGTTATTGATCTCTTATTTAAAGAGATATACTGAATTTTTTCCTGTGTATATACTTTATTAAAGGATTAAAAGAAGATAAAATGGGGGAGGGAATTAACTTAAAATCTAATTAAGAACTCTTAATTAAGTGGAAATGTAAGCTTCACTCTTGGATTTATCAATATTAAACTAAAAAATCAAGTTACTGTTATAATTAGTAATATGCTATATTTTTTGTTGGCCATGATTTTCTTCATATCTTCTGTTTTCTAAGTTTACCTTTTCTAAGTTTACCTTTTTTTCTTTTCCTATTAAGAATGTTCTTAAAAAAAAAAAAAACTCTATTTCTGTACCTTGGTTTGGGTTCTTTTATGCTTGGGAATTATTAATTGGGAATTATTATTAATTTTATGCCTGTTAACTCCTTTTGGCCTGCTTTTCATTTCATTTTGCCTATCTTACACACACACATTTATTTTTTTTTTTAATATATTGGATTATGTACACAGTAAAAGGCCAAAAGGAACATAGGAATAGGGCTTTTCGGTTAAAGTTGTTTTTCCTATCCTCGTTTCCCAGTCATCTAGGCCCTTTCATTGGATGCATTAAGTATTTATAGATCCTTGTAACTCCTTCTGGAGATATACAATAAGTATATTAATGCATATATTACTTTTTAACCGTTTTAGGTAATATACCATAATGATATATACCTAATGTCATAGTAATGTATGCGGTTTTACATTTCATTGTTGTTATTTTTATTTAAATATTGGGAGATCATTGCATATCAGCATATGAAAAACTCCCTCATTTTTATGGTCTCATGTTAATCTTGATCTGACATTTTAAGACATTCTGAACATTTTTCTAGACTGAAGAATTTCTTCTGGAAATTCTTTTGAAATTAAAATGGAATTTAATTGATAGCTGATACATGAAAAATGATCTCAGGCTTATTTTATTCATGTACAGAAAACTTTATTGTTAAAAGTAAAAAAGAAGTTTTAAAATTCTAATAAGATAATGAAAATTATTTTTATCTTTATAGTTTGAATCAGCTTGGGTACTGACAAATATTGCTTCAGGAAATTCTCTTCAGACCCGGATCGTGATTCAGGCAGGGGCAGTGCCTATCTTCATAGAGTTGCTCAGCTCAGAGTTTGAAGATGTCCAAGAACAGGTAAAAAAAAAAAAAAAGGAAGCATATGAAAGAATAAGTTTGCATTTTCTTGGCCTAAGTTTGATTACTTGGCCATAATAATTACAGCAAATGTTCTAGAAATCCAGCCTTCAACAAAATAGAATTTTTTTTAAGTTTCTATAGGCACAATTTCTTCTAGACACATAAAACTCTTTCCCCTTTCCACCCTGACATTCTTTAAGCCCTATAGTTTATAAATTTAGATAATGTAAGCAGTTACTGATATAAGAGCTTCTCCTTATAGGAATTGTAGTGTTAGCATCAGAATAGCAGTATCTTTGCCACTTTGGAAGTAAAAGACATAGAAAATATGTTGTTTTAGTACTGTCAACCATATAAAATTTGTAAAGATAAATCACTACTAAATGATTTTCTTTTAGAGTTTGAGGTATAAATTGACATGTTATAAACTGAATATATTTAAAGTGTACAGTATGATACCCGTGGAAACATCATTGCAGTTAAGATAAATATAGTCAGCTGGGTGATGGCATGCACCTATAATCCCTTTGACTCAGGAGGCTAAGGCAGGAGGATTGCAAGTTTGAGACCTGCCTCAGCAGTTTAGCAAGGCCCGAAGCATCTTAGACCCTGTTGCAAAATAAAACTAAGAGTTGGGGATATAGCTCAGTGGTAAAGCACCTGGGTTCAATGCACAGGTGGGGGAAATAATACAACCTCTGAAAATTAATAAAGTTACTTGCATTTTGATTGCTCTTCAGTTTCTGTTTACTCTTTTGTGTTCTAAGATTAAAGTACATTTTTAAGTCAGCTGAGAAAGCCATTTGAATCTCTGTTCTGTACTAAGGGCTGTGTGGAATGTTACAGAGGAATGGAGGATGGGGTCCTCTAAGAAAAGAATTGATTTTTCTCTTTAATAAGCTTTAATTTATTTAATAAATGCCTAGATGCCTATATTTCCTTTTGTTTATTGTACATTTTAGAATATTTTCTTCTTCCCCCAATGCCACAATTGTTTCATGTTGACTTCCTGATGTGTGAATTTTAAAATATCTGTAGTTAGTCCATGTGTAATATGTTGATTGCTTTATAATTTTATAAGGGGTTAATGTGATCTGCTGGCATCTTTTTTGAAAGAATTTTGTGGGAATTAAAGTATACAATAGTCATTAACAAATACTTCTTTCACAGGCAGTCTGGGCTCTTGGCAACATTGCTGGAGATAGTACCATGTGCAGGGACTATGTTTTAGACTGCAATATCCTTCCCCCTCTTTTGCAGTAAGTCTCTATTTCTTTTTTTGAGTAACAAAACATGGGAAGTCCCTTAGAAAGCATTACATATTTGAAAGTCATTTTTTAATTTCCACATATATTCTTGTTAACTCATTTACGTCATTTCTTCAGGCTCCAGATTTTAACGCCAGTTCCAAACTTCTAAATTAGTTGCCCTAGAATTTATGAAGTTTTATTTTGGAGAAAAGCCATTTGAATATATTTATTTTATCAGTACCAGTTCAGTATTTATCTTATGCTACCAGAGAATTAATATCTGCTATATAATTAGCTGTTGTGTCATACTTGTAGGTTATTTTCAAAGCAAAACCGCCTGACAATGACCCGGAATGCAGTATGGGCTTTGTCTAATCTGTGTAGAGGAAAAAGCCCACCTCCAGAATTTGCAAAGGTAAGGACTGTGCTTGTAGAAAATTGGCAGAAAAATGCAGTTAAAAAATGTATCAACCAATATTAATGAACACAAAATGATACTTTTTGATCAAATTTAGCATGTTAGAATTTTATTGGTTTCTAGAGAAACAGTTTTTGGTGGTTTTTATTTTTTTTGGGATCCCTCTCACTGTCTGTAGAAAGCTTCAAATTCATCTTGGCATGCGCGGGGCGCTGGGTTCATTCCTCAGCACCACATAAAAATAAAATAAAGATGTTTTGTCCACCGAAATCTAAAAAATAAATATTAAAAAATTCTCTCTGTCTCTCTTTTAAAAAAAAACAAAAACAAAAACCTTAGCTTATTTTGTTCATAACAAGTTATCTAAAATATGGAATTTCCCAGCTTTGGCATTTTTGAAAGCTTCTTTATGTCTTTAGTCTTCAGAGTATAGGTTTTGACAGAGACTCTCAATCTTCAGAAGTGGTATATGTAAAACTTTTCTTCCCGAAATAATTTTTCTTAGATTCTGCCTACCATCAGCAAAGTAAAAATTGTAGGACCATTGATAGCATTCCCAAAGATGGAAAAGCCACCCAGCCCTTTGCTAGTCAAACTCTAGAAATGTAAATCTTAACCCAAGTCATCAAGTGTTTGCTTGTTAGCCTTCTTGGTTATCTCACCTTACTTCTAACTTCCATTCTTTTGAATTTCATTATCATATTATCTTCCTTTTACAGGTTTCCCCCTGTCTGAATGTGCTTTCCTGGTTGCTCTTTGTCAGTGACACTGATGTACTGGCTGATGCCTGCTGGGCCCTCTCGTATTTATCAGATGGACCCAATGATAAAATTCAAGCGGTCATTGATGCAGGAGTATGTAGGAGACTGGTGGAGCTGCTAATGTGAGATATTTTTAAGAAAGTGCTTTTTCCCCCTTGTAATAGTTTCCTAGTTATTAATACTTATATATTAATCAGTTGTTTGTTTTACCGATTTATTGTGCTTTGGACTGCTGTCTTTTGTTTATTTTTGGGGGGTCGGGTGTTTCTGTTTTTTTCTTATGAGATTTATGGAGAACCTCATATTCTTTTGTTATAGTTACCCTTTAGCAGAAACTTTGGAAAACTGATCTGTATAATTCTAGCCCACAGTGGATGACCTATTGTGCCACTAAAAATAGTCATTCTTTATCGTCTATCCAATTTAGAGTTTAATCTAGACTGGGATCAGAGTTTTGAATCTTTATTTCACTCCCTTTGTAATGCTTTTGATGATGGGGTGAAAGATTTGCTTGTGATATAATGATTTGAAATTAATTAAATTTCTAGTTAAGACTATAGAAAAGGGACTGGGGTTGTGGCTCAGTGGTAAAGCACTTGCCTAGCATGTGTGAAGCACTGGATTCCATCCTCAGCACCATATTAAAAAAGCAAAGGTCTTGTGTCCGTCTACAACTTAAAAAAAAAAAAAAACTTTAGAAGAAAAAAGTAGAGTGAAAAGACAACAAAGAAATTGTATAGTTATAAGTAACAAGAAATGTAATGGAAATTCAAATAGATATAAAGAGACGTTTTCCCAGACATGAGATGTGGAATGGATTAGACAAGTATAATGTATAGAAGACAAAACTATGGGATTATAGCCACAGATTGGTTGTAGATTAGTAAAGTAGTACTATTGTGAGTTAAAAGCAATATGATGTTGTAGGAATTACAAAACATTCAAAATCTGGGAATTAATCTTTGCATCCTTTAGATATTAGATTATTATACATTTTAATCATTTATTTTGAGCCACCCATCTTAAATGTGAAGGAACTGACAGTTTAAGAAAAGTTGACTGGTATCATTAAAGAAGAAAGAAAATTTTCTTATCTTTAAGATAAAGGGTATTGACTTATTTATCCTAAAATCCAGACTACATATTTATATTTTCTATTTTTATGTTTATCTTCTATTTTAGACATATAAATCTGTCTTCAAATATGTAAAACAGGCTTTATGAAGGGTTTCTTTTGACCAGTAAGGCAGCTTTTAGTAGGTTTAATAAAGTTTAGTATTTGAAAATTTTTAAATTTAGTCAACTATTGACAGGTCAGTTTTGCCTCCTTTTAAAATTAATTTATTGAGACAGGTGGATTGCACATTCAGAGCCAGACTCAGCAACTTAGGACCTAAGCAACTTAGCAAGACTTTTTCTCAAAATGAAAAACAAAAAGGGTTGGGGAAAGGGGTTATAGCCCAGTGGAAAAGTACCTCTGGGTTAAATCTCCAGACGCAAAAAAAAAATTATGTTAACTCTTGGTCCCCATTTATCTCAGCAATCATAGAAGATAAAGTAAAGAGGAAGTAAGCCTATAGTAAAGAATGAGAGGGAGTGCTTGGACTCCATGTAATGAAAGTCTGGAAAAGATTGCTAGGAATGTAGTGTAATTTTTTCCAAAAATTCTGAATACTGGGGAAGACAGCTATTCTAAGGGGACATAAAACATTCTGTCATCATGGTAGGGTTCCTTTAATAATAACATTGGTACCTTTCTGTTCTGAAATCTTATTGCAAATTATTTCTTTTGGACTTCAGCCCTAAAGAAAAAAGATTATGGATAGAACTACTGGCTAGGCTGTAACATTTCTTTCTTTCTTTTTAATTTTTGCAGGCATAATGATTATAAAGTGGTTTCTCCTGCTTTGCGGGCTGTAGGAAACATTGTCACAGGGGATGATATTCAGACACAGGTATGAATAAATGGTAATATTTTTTTCAAAAACAAATTCTTCAAAAACAATACATTGAACTATGTGATTGTGTTTCATTATAATATTTAATACCATATTTTTTTTGGGGGGACTGATACTTTGTTTTGCTAATGTTTGTTTAAAATGTTGGCTTTAGGCATCTACTTGCAAAATTTTTTAGTATTTGTGTTGACCTCTTACAGCAATTTTGGGTTCCCCTCTAATTAAGATTTATTTGGTTGGGCAGATTTGTTTCCTTCTACTTGTAATTGAAATGGTTTTGGGGAACACCAGAAGCCTGTAGTAGCCAGCCTCTTTTTCTCTTTCTTTAATCTTAACATCATCTTTTCTGATAGTTGCCTCCTTTGGTACATGATAAGTCTTCTATGTAAGGAAGGTTCTTTCTCCTGGCTCCTAGTATCCATTTACTTTGACATCAAGACACATTCTCAGTGGATTGTTCTGGCCGGTTTTTCTTTCAGATGTCTCAGATGCATTGATAACAATGTCTTAAAATTGTCTTTTAGGCTTCTGAGTGTTGAAATTTTGCTTCTTTGCTTTATCAGCCATCTGTTCCTCCCTTTATCAAATTCTTTTTCCTGTTTTCGTTTGTTTGTATGCATTCATAAACCTTATTTATAATTTCAGTGATCACTTTTATGTGCATGGATTGAGAATTGGGAATTACGTTTTATCCTTAGTTTGCTCTTAACTGGCTCCACCTTTTAGCAAAGCATTTAATGTTTTTACTTTTCTCATTTCTAAAATTAAGTTTAGATTTGTTTTCTGAAATGTGTTTCGCTTGTAATATCTATTTCCAATTTATTCTGCCCACGAAGGAACTAATTTCCTACTGCATACTGAATCTCTGCTTCTGTTTCCTGTCTTGGTAAGTGGCACAAACAGTTGTCCATGCCAGAAGCCTGGGCAGCAACTTGATTCTTCCTCTCTTCCACCTGCCAGTTTCTAAGTCCTATTTATTACTCCATTTTTGTTTACCCCTTGCAGTGTTTAGTTTAGATATTTTAGACAAAAGAAGAAGAAAAGAATATATGATTCAATAAAATTTCTCTGGAAGGAAATAGGAAACTCACATTGGTTGTCTCTGAGGAGAAGTTGATGTTTTGGATTCAGGAATAGAAAGGTGTCTTTTAACTATTTAGTCCTTTATACTTCCTGAAGTTTGAACCATATCAGTGTATTTTCTTTTCAAAAATAAATGTTTCTTGGTCTGAGGATGTGGCTCAGTGATTTCTTCTCATGTGTGAGGCCCTAGGTTTATTCACTGTGAGCACTCCCCCCACTCCCAAAAAAGTTTCTACATCTCCCACTCCTACCACATACTCTTATGTTCTAGTCATGTTTGTTCTTGAACTCATATCTCTGAGTTTTGATACATACTTTCTTCTCTGTGCATAGAACACCTGCCTCCATCACCCACCCATGCCAGGAATGCCACTTCACACATACCCACACTTTGCTTGTAAAGTTTTCTTATTTCTCACTTTTTTTGTGTGGTGGTGGGGTGGGATACCGGGCATAGAACTCAGTGGCACTCAACCATAGCCACATCCCAGTCCTATTTTCTATTTTATTTAGAGACAGGATCTCACTGAGTTGCTTAGCGCCTTGCCATTGCTGAGGCTGGCTTTGAACTGTGATTCTCCTGTCTTAGCCTCCTGAGCCACTGGGATTACAGGCATGCGCCACCATGCCCAGCTCATTTCTCACATCTTAATAAAAGTTATTTTCTCTGGGAAGCTTTGATCCCACACTTTTCAGTTAGGTCCTTCTTGTTTTATAAGAGCACTAATCACACTGTATTGTAACTGTCAAAAGTTTTGGATTTTAAGATGTTGGAGGTAGACTGTCAGTCATGTTCATTTGTAGAAAATATTTATTGAATGGAATGAAATTCTGAATCTATAAATCTAGTTCTGACCTCTTTCAAGTTCCTGTCTCATGTCTCCAGGTCCTGTTAGATATTTTTTGCATGTCTCACGTTTCCCAGTGTATTCTCTTTCCCCTCCAAAGCAAGTTCCAAGTCCTGATTTTTTTTTTTAACATTTTTAGTTGTAGTTGGACACAACATGTTTATTTATATATTATTTTTATGTGTTGCTGAGGATTGAACCCAGCGCCTCACAGGTGCTGGGTGAGCAAGCACTCTACCACTGAGCCACAATCCCAGCCCCAATTTTTTCTATTTTGATTAATTCTAAACTTTGTGGTCATTTTTAGTGTCTTCTCTCTGTTTACTTTGTATAGCAAATTACCAAGTCTTGTTGATTCTTACTGTTGTTGCTAGATTCACTTATGATTACCATATTTTGATCCTTGTCCTCACAAAGGTTCTCTCCCCCTTTTTTCACACAAAGGTTTTTGACATGCCCATCTGATTTATCTTCCTACTATCCCAAGTTACTCTATTTATTCCCCCTAATAATAGCTTCATCTTTCCTAAAATAGTCTCCTTGACATCATTTATTTTACTGTTGGAAACAATGAGCTTCTTTAATGGCTATGAGGTGAAGGACCTTCTCATTCTTTCTAGTTGGCATTTAGAACTAGTAGTATTCCTACTAGTAGTCTGTTCTTTTGTTCTCTTTTTTGGGCCTTTGATGGGGGTACTAGGATTTAATTCAGGAGCAATTTACCACTGAGCTACATCCCCAGCCTTTTTGTTTTTTATTTTGAGACAGGATGTCACTAAGTTACTTAGAGCCTCACTAGGTTGCTGAGGCTGGCCTTGCACTTTTTTTTTTTTTCAATTCTGATTTGTTTTTCAGACCACTTCTGATTTGTTATATATGACAGTAGAATGCAATTCAATTCATATTACACAAATAGAGCACAATTTTTGATGTCTCTGGTTGTACATAAAATAGTCACACCATTTGTGTTTTCATACATGTTCTTAGGGTAATGATGTCTGTTTCATTCCACCATTTTTCCTACCCCATACCCCCTCTTCTCCCTCCCCTTTGGCCTATCTAAAGTTCATCTATTCCTCCTAAACTGCACCCCTGCCCCCATCCCCATTATGAATTGGCTTCCTTATATCAGAGAAAACATTTGGCATTTGGTTTTTTGGGATTGGCTTACTTAGCATTATATTCTCCAACTTTATCCATTTACTGCAAATGCCATAATTTTATTCTCTTTTAAAGCTGAATAATATTCCATTGTGTGTGTGTGTGTATACACCACGTTTTCTTTATCTGTTCATCTACTGAATGGCATCTGGGTTGGCTCCACAATTTATCTATGGTGAATTGTGCTGCTATAAACATTGATGTGGCTGTGTCACTATAGTATGCTGTTTTTAACTCCTTTGGATAAACCCAGGAGTGGGATAGCTGCGTCAAATGATGGTTCCATTCGAAGTTTACTGAGGAATCTCCATACTGTTTCCAGAGTGGTTGCACCAGTTTGCAGTCCCATCAGTAATGTATGAGTGTGCCTTTTTCCCCCCACATCCTCGCCAACAGTTATTGTTTGTATTCTTGATAGCTGCCATTCTGAATGGAGTGAGATGGAATCTTAGAATGTTTTGGAGTTGCATTTTTCTAATTGCTAGAGATTGTTGAACATTTTTTCATGTGTTTGTTGATTGATTATATATCATCTTCTGAGAAGTGTCTGTTCAGTTCCTTTGGCCTTGAACTTTTGATCTTCCTGTCTCAACCTCCTGAGCCACTGGGATTATAGGTGTGCACCATCATGCCTCTGTTTTTTGTTGTCTTTTTTTGTTGTTGTTGTTCTTAACTGTAGTTTGTAATATAGGCTTTTCTATTTCTAGCTTTTAGGCCCAGCATCCTCCCTCTTCTTTGCTTCAGAAATCTTGTGTGCATTCCAAGGCTCCTTCCATGAAGTTTTTTTCTTGACTATTCTTCTTCAAGTATTCTTTTAAATTTCTGACATGTTTGTTTTCCAGACCATTTCTTTGGCGTTTTTTAAATTGCTTGTGACATCTCTTATACTTTTTTTCAAGGTTTGTTTTGATTCAGTGTAAAATATATTTTTTCATTATAGAAAAATTATCAAATGAAAGTCACCCGTAACTCTACTATCTGGTATTTTTATTGTATGCAATCATATGTACTGCTGTACATTTTAATATACTGCTCTTTTCCTGGTGTTCACTTAACATTCTGTTACAAATCTGTAATTTCCTCTGAGTAGATACGTGGGTTATTTGTTTTACCTCCCTTGCCTTTGTGAGCTATTTGATACCTGGTTCCATGTTTTTTATCCTCATATTCTTTAAGTATGTATTAATTCATTAAGTATGTATTAGTTCATTGACTGCAAGATAGAAAGTTAGCAGAGGATTTCAAAATCTGAGACTACTGTTCTTATCACTTAATATGTTTACCCATCCAGAAGAGATACCTGTAGAGACAGGAGCTGAATGAGTAATCCTAATTACTAATAATTACTAATTCTAACATTGTGTTTTATTAAGTATGACTTTTAGTAGTTGTGAAAGTATACAATGAAGCTAGTTTAATAAGTCTTAGAAATTAATTTTTACTAATGTGTGTATATTACTTATTTTTTAGATTTCAAGGGGAGGTGTTATTTCTGTATCTATATTTTTCCTAAAGTAGCTCTGTGAATTAAAATTTTACTTTCATTTGGAACAATACAGTAAGTTAAAAGTTTTTAAACTTTTCCTTTTAGGTAATTTTGAATTGTTCTGCTCTTCAGAGTTTATTGCATTTGCTGAGTAGCCCAAAGGAATCTATCAAAAAGGAAGCATGTTGGACAATATCTAATATCACAGCTGGAAATAGGGCACAGATCCAGGTAATCTCATAGCACCTTTATTTCTTACACTGTTAGTGATTGGTAAGTTTTTTGCTTTTTAAAATTCAATCTTTAAAATACATAGTTTTTATTATTGCTTTGAAAATCACTATCTTCTGTTGCTATTTCATAGTCTGCTTCTTATTTTCTTCTTTCTAGCTTACAAATGCTTATTCTTTTGAAACTTTTACTTAGGCCTTGATTTACCCCTTTGTCGTTAATATTTGATGACTTACCCAACATCCAGAAAAAAGTATATTGAATTTTTGAAGTATTTTAATGGACTTTATGTTATACAGATTGGCTTTACTCTTGCCAACTAAACAGTTATTTAAATGGTTTTTTAAATGGTTATCTACCCTTTACTTTTGCTTTTCTGTTACTGGGAGAGTAACCTAAGAGGAAGACAAGCAGTGGGCTAATGTTCAACATGAGCTGTGATCAAGGCTGCCATAATGGTTTAGAATACAGATTTAGAGGCTTATGTATCAATACAAATAAAAGTAAAAAAAAAAAAAAAAAAAAAAGATGAAGCTGAGGCTCAGAGAACTATAATAGTATGCTCAGGTACATCTCCAGTAAATGAAAGGACTAGAATTGGGTGTCTTTCCACTAACGTTTGCTGACTTCCTTCACTGGTATAATAGAAGATGTTCTTGACCAAGAAAGCATTGTTAGTCATCCCCAGAAAATTGAATTAGGCACTGAGATTCATAGCTGTAGCAATTTATAGTGTGCCTCTGAAATTTCAGCTGTAGTTGATGGCCTGTTATCACCAGGCTCGCATATACCAGTTCTCAATTTCTTGATTAGGAGAAATTATGGAAACATACTTCAGGTTTTTTAAGCCAATATGGAACATGACAAAAGCAATTTGGGGCAAACTACTTCAGTGTTAATATGTTGAGTGGGGTTGAATAAAAGTACTCTGTCCTGATAATAGGTCCTTAAATACAAATAAGGGAATTGTGGTAATTTTATTGGGAGTAGTAGCTTGGGATATGATGGTGACAATGATCATAAAGGAAAAAGAAAAAATAGTCTTGGAATGTTTCAAAGTGAGAATGATAAGGAAACTTGGTAACTGACTGAATTTAGAATGAATACAGAAATAAATAGCCTTTGTGAACTAGAAACATTTAAATGGGGACCTGATAGGAAAGATGATGTGTTTGAGATGAATATCAGACCTACAGTAAGTTGATGGCTACCCTGGGCTATAGCTTCAGTGACAAGTGAAGGACTGGAAAATTAACAGCACACCAGCAGGAATGTATGCAGTGAACAGAATGAGAGTATCAGAGGAACAGAGAATCGAACTTTTATAAATTGTTACATGGAATAGAACAACAGAGGATAATAAAAAAGAAAAGAACTAAGGGAGATTTTAAGATTTTTAGACTCCGTAGAGGTTGTCATCTATGGTACTAGGGAGTAGCTTAACAGGAATAATGAGGATTGTACTCCTTCATATCTATAATTATTGTGTGTATATGTGTCTGTGTGTGTATACACATACAAACGTGTGTGTGGGGGGGTATGTATATGTATATGTTTATTCATTTATTTATTTTGCAGTCCTGGGGGTGGAACCCTGGAGGACTTTAATCCTGAGCTACATCCCCAGGCTGTGTGTGTGTGTGTGTGAGCGCGCGCGTGCCAGTATGATGCTGGAAATTGAACGCAGGGTTTCATGTGTGCTGGGTAGTAGCCACTTTACCACTTCCAGCCCCCTTCCAATTTATTTTTAACAGGGGAAGGGTGTCATTAGTGAAGTAAACTTAAAAGTTATAATTAGTATTAGGAATATTTTTACAAATCTTATTTCCTTTTCCAATTTTAATTTTTTCTTAATTTCAGACTGTGATAGATGCCAACATCTTTCCAGCTCTTATTAGTATATTGCAAACTGCTGAGTTTCGGACAAGGAAAGAAGCTGCTTGGGCCATCACAAATGCAACTTCTGGAGGATCAGCTGAACAGATCAAGTAAGTACTAGCCAGCGTCTTGTAAATTAAGGAAAAATCATTGCTGTTTTTACATATGTAGAATGAAAAAATTGACTACATTTGAGGAATAAGGTGAAAGATGATTGTATTAAATAAGAATGCTTAATTCTGGCCTTTTGAATTATTGTTCATTTTGTCTAATTAGACTCAAATGTGTATTTAATTTCGTACACCTATTTTATTCTTTTTTGCTGAAAATAATTCTGGGATAAGAGAAATAAGGCACAGTCAAGGTTTGATGAAATAGAAATACTTACAGGTGAGCTTCAGCTTGCTGTGAAGCTACTTGGTCAGAACATCTTAGATAGTGTGGGTTATTACTTGTAGAACTCAGAGCCCAAATATAATCGTTCACCAGTTCTTGATATTTCTACTTCAGATGTCTTAATGGTAGAATTAGATCATACTTGAAATAGAGATATGTCCTAGAATGAAGTACCATATTCTTAGAGGCAAGTATCTTCTGAAGTACTTTGGTGTTCAGTAAGAAGAAAAATTTGTTGTAGCTTGAGACTTAAATGATTTCCTTGTTAGTGATTTATAATCATGGTCTCTAGAGAATGCATAAATAAAATGGGAATCAGTTTTTCAAGGGAGCATTATGCAATTAAACATTAAATTCTGGACATCCAATGAAAGAAAGTGGACAGTGGTGTAGAGAAAAATGGAACCTTTCTTTGCCCCACCCACTCCCTCCCTTTCTTCCTTATGGAACCCGGGGCCTGGAACACACTGGGCAAGGGTTCTATCACTGAGCTATATCCCCAACCCTTTTAATATACTTTTTGAGTCAGAGTCTCCTTAAATTGCCCATGCTGGTCTTGATCTTGCTCTCTTCCTGTCTTAGCCTCCCAGGTATCTGGATTACTGACTGGTGTGTGCCACCACACTCAGTTGCCTTAGCTTTCTCAGTGGGGAGTTCAGATGAAGGGATTATGGCTCCAAAGAGTGCTTCCTTATAAATGATACCAGACAAACATAACTACTTTTATATTGTTGCCATGTGGACTATAGGCACTCAACACATGCCTAAAATCTCTGTTTGAAATTATAAAATAAAAATTACTCTTAACAAATTGCAGAAATTGTTTAGGTCGAGAAGATAAGAAATATGTGTCTGAAATAATAGAACTATAAAGAGATAGCTATTTTGATAAAGTTCATCATAAGACAGTCTTCAGAAGCATAATTGTCTTTTTAAGGTCTTTTTCAAACCCTGGCTCAGGGTACTGTGATTTTAAGTGAGCCACACAAATGAGAATAACCTGAAGTAATTTAAATTATTATTTTCATTGCCCCTATGCCTGATGCACTTTCTTAATGAAAATAATTAAACATGTGCTTCTAAAATATTGCTAATACCATTCTATCTTTCATTATAAATTACTTTGGGAGCATTTTGCTCTTACAGAAGAGTAGAGTTGCTACAGTTGGTTTTTAAAATTTGGCATATTTATAATAATGAAGTTAATTATTAATCTAATAGCAGTTTCTTTGTACCCAGATGAAGTGTTATCTTAAACTATTGTAAAAATATTAGTCCAGGGGCTGGGGATGTGGCTCAAGTGGTAGTGCGCTCACCTGGCATGCATGAGACAATAGATTTGATCATAAAATAAAAAAATAAAGATTAAAAATAATTTTTAAAAAATATTAGTCCAAATTACAGAAACCAAACTGACTTTATCACCGATAAAAGAAATTTATTAAGAAATTGCCAGGTTATCTTCCATATTGGGTATCTCATCTTGAATTCTGACCAGCAGTAAGTTAATTGAGTTTCTTATTTTTCTTCTTGAGAGTTCTTTGAATATTTGTGATACCAGTCTTTTTATTAAATATGTGTTTTGCAATTATTTTCTTTCAGTCTGTGGCTTATCTTTTAATTCTTACAATAGAATATTTTATAGAGCAGGAAATTTTAATTTTAATAAAGTCTAGATTAATTAATTTTTTTCTTTCCATGGATTAAGCTTTTGGTGTTGCCAAACCCAAGGTTGCCAAGGTTTTTTCCTATGTGATTGTCTTTTTCTTTTTACCTTTTGGGGCATGCTGCGAATTGTCAGTTCTCCAACTTTGTTAATCAGTGTTGTGTTAGCTATTCTGGTCTTTAGCCTTTCCATATAAACTTTAGAGTCGGTTGGTATTTATAAAATATCTTACTGGAATTTTAATTGGAATTATCACATTGAATCTATAGATCAAGTTGGGAAGAAGCGACATCTTAACAATATCGAGTCTTCCTGTCCATGATCATTATTATGATCATGGAGCATTTCTTTGTTTATTTAGATCTTAAGATTTTGACGTTTTCCTCATATAGATCCTGTACATATTTTTGTCAGATGTGTACTTCTTTAATGCTACTATAAATGATATTGTTTTAAATTTCACATTATAGTTGTTCATTACTAGTATATAGGATAGCAGTCGAATTTTATTAACATTGTACTATGCAACCTTACCCTAACTGCTTGTTAGTATGGGAGGTTTTGGTCAGTTCTTTGGGCTTTTCTGCATAGATACTGATGATATCTGGAAACAAAGATCATTTCTTCCTTCCCAGTCTTGTTAACTTTCTCTTCTTTTTTTCCCTCATGTCTCCCCTGCACACTTTTAAAATAAGTGTATTAGCTAGGATTTTAGTGCAATGTTGAGTAGCAGTGGTGAGGGAGTACATCCTTGCCATGTTCTCAGTCTTTCCCATCATTAAGTATAGTGTTACCTGTATAGCTTTTGTTGAGGTTCTTTATGAAGTTAACAAATTTTCCTCTATTCCTATTTTGCTGCATTTTATATTTTAATTGTGAATGAGTATTAGATTGTGTTATATTTTTTATCTATTGAAATGATCATATGTTGATGTGATTGATTACTTTTTTTTTTTTTTAATGTTGAGTCAGCCTTGCATACCTGGAAAAAATCCCACTTAATGTATAATTCTTTTTACATATTGCTGGATTTTATCTGGTAATATTTTGTTGAGAATTTTTGCATCTATGGCCTTAATAGAGATTAACTTGTAATTTTCCTTGTAATGTCTGTTTAGTTTATTAGCAGAGTGAGTTAAGTGTTCCTCTGCTTCTAATTTATGGAAGACATCATAGAATACTAGTATCACTTTGTCCTTAAATGTTTGGTAGAATTCACCATGAAATCATCTCATTGTAGTGCTTTCTATTTCGGAGGATTAATTATCGATTAATACATTTTAGTCTATTCTTATTACTTATTTCTCCTTGTGTGAGTTTTGGTAGTCTCTTTCTTTCAAGAAATTGGTCCATTTCATCATCTAAGTTATCATATTTGTGGGCATAGTTATTTGTATTATTTCTTTATTATCCTATTAATGTCCATGGCATCAGTAATATTTCTCTGTTTTACAATATTAGTAATTTTGTTATCATCGTTGTCTTCCTCCTTTCTCTGTTTTTGGTTTGTCTGGATAGAGATTGATTTTTATATATTTTTGAAATTGAAAAAGCAAAGTAATCTGAGAGAGAAAGTAGAAAGTAATATAGTACACTAGCAGTAAGTTCCAAAATGACATTCTTCACATCCACAGAATGCATCTGGATTCATTATCTCTCCCTTTCTATACATAACTCGGAAACCAGAATGATACAAAAATGACATCAATATATGCCGTGACTGTGATTTTTTTGTGTGTCATAGGAGTAATTATTACGATTAATCCTGATTACCTGTTAAATTCTCCCTGAATTGGGGCTGGGGATGTGGCTCAAGCGGTAGCACGCTCGCCTGGCATGCGTGTGGCCCGGGTTCGATCCTTAGCACCACATACAAACAAAGATGTTGTGTCCGCCGATAACTAAAAAATAAATATTAAAATTCTCTCTCTCTCTCTCTCTCAAAAAAAAAAAAATTCTCCCTGAATTAAAGGAACTATCAATTCTAGCTCAAGAGTTCTCCCTACATTTGTTTTATTCTCTTCCTAGTCTTCTCACAACTTAGTAAAATTCGAATCACATTTGAATTATTTGGCCTCCTGGGTTTGTGCTGGCTTTTAGAACCAAATGTTCATGTTTGGGAAGTGTGGTTTCCTATAGAAACAAAAAGACAGTCTATTAGAACTATGCTATTTTAATTAATTAGTTGCTTATATTCAAGGTAGGAAAGAATTTTTATTTCTTACAGTCCAAAAATTGTGAAGAGAAAAATTGGAGAACTAGTTTTGGTTAATTTTTTAATAGCTTTTTTTTTTTTTTTTTTTGTGATGAAGTGTATAATTGACTGGGTACCTATTTTTATTTCTACAGTGAGTTTGAGGATGACTCACCAGTTTCATAACAGTTTTACAAATTTAAAAATTTTGTTTTGACTAAATTGTTTTTTGTATTAATTTAGGTACCTAGTAGAACTGGGTTGTATCAAGCCGCTCTGTGATCTCCTCACTGTCATGGACTCTAAGATTGTACAGGTTGCCCTTAATGGCTTGGAAAATATCTTGAGGCTTGGAGAACAAGAAGCAAAAAGGAATGGCACTGGCATTAACCCTTACTGTGCTTTGATTGAAGAAGCTTATGGTAAGATGCTTTGAGTGAAGAAGGTTGTGGCCAAGAATTAATTAGGTCATAGATGCAGTCCAATAATAACATTAATATTACTAGGTAGTGGAGGATGTGGTGACTGTTAAGGAAATTGCTATTTCTACAGACTCTATTGCTTACATACATATATTTAAGAAGTCAGTTTATAATATTAGCTTTTAGATATAATTTAGCAATATTTCAGTACTATTATAAAACATAAGAAAATCTTCATTTATATCAAGAAGACATGGTAAAATATAGTTTATTGGAAATTCCAATAAAGATTTTTCTTTATTCTTTGTTCTAGGTTTGGATAAAATTGAGTTCTTACAGAGTCATGAAAACCAGGAGATCTACCAGAAGGCCTTTGATCTTATTGAGCATTACTTTGGGACCGAAGATGAGGACAGCAGCATTGCTCCCCAGGTTGACCTTAGCCAGCAGCAGTACATCTTCCAGCAGTGTGAGGCTCCTATGGAAGGTTTCCAGCTTTGAAGCAATACTGCTTTCATGTTCCTGTGTCAGACCAGGCTACCCAGTCGAGTCCTCTTGTGGAGCCCACAGTCCTCATGGAGCTAACTTTTCAAATGTTTTCCATAATACTGTTTGCGCTCATTTGCTTGCCTTGCGCACCTGCTCTCTTACACACATCTGGAAAACCTCTGGCTCTCTGTGGTGGAATACCCTTATAATAATAGGGTAACCAGAATGGCCCACTTTAATGGAAAAATCCCTAGGCTTTGGAGATCCGCAATTATATTAGAGTCATGGGAATATATATATATATATATATATATATATATATATATATATATATATATATTAATGTGGCTCCCTTTTTTGTGGGGGAGAAAAAAGGACTCTTCCTCATTCCCTTTAAAGTGGGAAACAAATACTGACATTAAAAGATAAAACTAAACCTTTATCTTGAATTTCACACAACTACTTGTGACAAGGGAGATGTTTAGACTTGTTGTGTACACTTCAGAGTACTTTTCATGAGTTCTTCCACAGTGAACCCTTGGATTATCTGGTGGCTTTTTCTAGCCAAATTTGCATTAATTCTTACTAAGATTGGATGGTTTTCTTTCCTCTATTGGCGCCATTCTTCAGATATTAAAATTAAACCATCCACTCCCTTACCTTCAGCCTTCAGTGAATGCTTTCTAGTTGTCAGGAATGCTGAAGAATTAACACTTTGACTCTTAAATGTGATACTGGTTTGCAGATTCCCTTAAAGCAGAAAAAAGAGGAGCACGTATTAATTTGTATGGCTTTTGCTTCTCTTTGGTCTTGTGTGACTTAGGATTTGGAAGTGGTTCAGTTCTAATGCTGGTATGAAGATTTAGAGTTCTTAGTAATCAAAAAACATATCCTATAATTCAGTTACAAAATAAGGAGGAAAAATAAAAGGACTTGAACCTTCCAATTTTCTCAGACTTAACCCAGATGACTAGAGGCTGTGTTTCTGCATTACAACAAATATTTCAGGCTTTGTGGTCCTGATCAAGGTCCTCAGTAAATTGGAGTTAACCCTAGGTGCTTTCCCCCTCTGTGACTGGCAGATAACACATTATTTTAAAGAATACTTAAGAATTTTTTTTTCTTAGTCAAGTGCAGCTTGATTCTGATATACTCCGGCTGCATATATGATCCCTGTAATGTAGCATTCTTAAGAAAAACAACCATTTTTCTCAACATGACATGCTTAATTCAAATAAGGGCAGTGATCTTTTTTTTTAATAACCTCATTGTTCCCTAATAATTTTATTTCATCTACTAGTACCAACTCCCACCCTCACCCCCAATAAAAATGGTGTCCACCTTCTGACTCATTTAATTATGACTGCAGTCTACACCTGCAAATGGCGCTTCCAGTACTGTGTTCACTGATCCACATTTTGTGCTTGGACTGGAATGAAAATATAAGCTTAATTGCCAAGATAACTGCAACTGAGTTCAATACGACTTCTCGGTGCTAGTTGGCCATCTTGACTCAATGTTGGGATACACTATCAGAGAAGATTTTTTTGATGATGATTCTGTTCAAAATGAATTCTGAAGGAAAAGTTGCTGACTTCTGTTTCAGAGCATACCCTTTTAAACCTCTTTAGACTTATCCTCTTCTAGAATTCATAACCCCAAAGTGTAAAATCTATCTGGAAGTTGCCCCTGACAAGCTATTATACATCTCTGATAAATCCTGCTGAATGTAGGAGATTTTCAGAGCTTTCATACCTCATCATGATGTTATTTAAACAGCCAACTTATGTGACCTGATTTAAACTTTTAAAAAGCCCACTTCATTCAAACTAGAAAGATTCAAAGACAAAGGACATTTATCAGCCAAGAGTGACGCATTCTTCGCCTCTAGTCTGTAGTTGTGTCTGTGCTCGGGGATGGATACGTCTGATGTCTGTTGTTATTGATGGAGCAGCCACAGCAAAACTAGTCAACTCTCATCTATACTGTTACTTTTTCTAGTGCTGCTTTGTGCTGAGGAACTTTTTAGTTTACTGCACTTGACTTGTAAAAGACTTTGATTCTTTGTAATTTTAGGGATAAATTAGGTGGTTAATTTAAAGAAGAACTTTCAATGTTGCCTTTACATCACATTAAAATATGACTTCTTTCAGAAGGATAATAGAAGCACTGATTCATAGTAAAAATCTCATTTTTAGCTTTGAATTTTTTTTTTTGTGGCTGAGTTTTTTTAAATTGTAAATTACTGGTAACATCATTTCTATAGAATGTTTTGAATTATGTATCTTCTATTGGATAGTTAATTTTTTTTTCATTTTATAAACCAATTTGAATGGAAAATATAAAGCACACCAAGTGTATTGCCACATTAGTAAGAGTAGTGTATGGTGGGAATTTTTGCTAACAATAGCAGGTGTCTCAATGAATGAATTAAAACAAAAAAAGTCCATTTAACTGATGTGATCTGTTTTGTTTAAAACAGAAAAATTTACCTTGCTGTGGTCCTAAAAGTTCACGAACCTTAAGATCTGAACTAAGCTTTTATTTTTTTAAGTATAAAAATTGAAATTGACTCAAGTTATATCACAGCATAATTCACATGTGCTTGTACTTATTGATAAATCAGCCTTTTTGATACTAGAAATGGCATTTTAAGGGGTAATTGTAAATCCTATTTTATTTCTCTGGAAGATTCTATTTAGTTTGACTTATATTTTTATCACAAAAGTGTGTTACTCATTATAGAAGTATATTGATTTCAACAAAAGAAAAATTTTAGTTTTATATGCTGATGAGGAAAAGTGGCTGTTTTTCCTCCCCTGACCCCTTCCTTCAAACTTTGAAAGTATATTCTTTCCAATGAGAACTTTGGTGGGGAGAGAAAAGTGTTCAGAGAATTTGGGGTGTAAAAGCACCTGATATCTGAAGGACCAGCAGATAGATAATGGTTGATTGGAAAAATACCAGGGAATGTAAAGATGGTGGACATAAAGAAAAGATTGAGGAGACAGAATTCTCAGTAGAACACTATGTTGTCACTTATCAAAATCCTTTTTAGTTATTGCCTATGTCAGTAGTACTGCTTTTGAAGACTGTTGTCCTAGGATTGTTTCTTCATATACCTGATAAAACTGATTTGACTCTGGGATGTTTTCAGCCTTATTGTTACAGAGGAAAAATTAGCAGTTTTCCCTTAATAAATCTGAATTATTCCAGGTTGCTGCTGATTTTTGCCTAAGAAAAAAGTATGTAAGTATATTTCATCAACCAGATATGGCAACTAAATCTTCTTGTCAATGACTACCTGCAGGCAACTTTAAATTATTTCTGTAGTTCAAAATAAACATTTTGGCTGTTGGATCCCCCATCTTGGGGCATTATTATAAAAATATTTTCTTCAGGTCAAAGGATTTATTTCTATTTATTACTTGAGTGAAAATTGTCTTTTATCAATGGCAAGTCATTATAGTTGCTTTAGGGATTGAAGCTTTTTATGTAAATTGGAAATTGTGATGTATTAGGATGCTGTTCACTAAAGAAGGGGCTCACTTTTAGAAAGAGGCATTGTTTGCTTTCAACTTACATTATATGCTACCTCCTACATTCCAGATTTGCTCATTTGTAGAGATATGTGTGCCTATATGTGAAAGTCTCAAATTTAAGTATTTTGACATACTAAATTAATAGGACCATTTCCTTCTATTAAGTGAACAGATTAAGTAAATATCTGCCCATTTGGGAAATGTTTTAGATTATCTTTTCCTATCAAAAAAGTTAATTTTTAAAAAAGTAATTGAAAGCCAGATCAGACAAGTACAGTAAGTAGGCTGTAATGTGAAAAATATAACATGCTTTATTGTCCCAAAGAGGACAGGTTTTAAGAATGGATACCTGAGCATCAGAATAATGTTTGGTAAAGTAAGGTATTTATATATGAATTAAAATTATCAAATTATGTTGGGTATAAAATACATCTGAAAGCTTGAGGTAAGCAAAGGTAAACTTCTAGATGAAGTTCCATTCTGTTTTTATTAAGTGTAGGTAAAGAAGTCTGTTTTTCTGAAGGTGTCAAGGCAAAGGCACTTTGTCTTTATGTGAGCATCTGTTATGTTATGGCTAAGGACTTTCCCATTTTCTTAATCCTCCAACTGCTTTTTGAGGTGGATAGTTATCACTGTATTATAGATGACAAAATAAGACACATAAGAAATTACTTTGCTCCATGGTCACAATCCTTAAATACTGACTGTCCAAGGGAGGAGAGAAGACTTGCCAAGTTCTGTCTTAAAGAAAGCAGTGGTTGTGCTGTTCTGTGCCCAGGAACTCCACAACTAGACTTTCAGGAGCCACAGGTGGGCAAACCCATTTTGTAGGACCATTCTTCCTGACTTCCTCATCATTTTGGCTCCCTTAGAACAACTCCATCTGGTGTAAGTTGCTTTTAGTTTATACAGTCTGGTGTTGTAGGCCCACTCAGCCCAAATATCTTTCCCCTCGTTTGGTGCTAAAACTCTGTACATCAAGACAAGTACAACAGAGGTTTATTTAAAAAAAATAAAATGGCAGCCAGATGTGGTGGCATACACCTGTAGCCCCAGCACTCAGGAGGCTGAGGTTGGAGGATTGCAAATTTAAAACCAGCCTCAGCAATTTAGCTAGGCCCCAACAAATTAGTGAACCCTTAACTCAAAATAAGGGCTGGGGATGTGGCCCAGTGATTATGTGCCCTTGGGTTCAATCCCTACAAAAAAAGGAAATGATTGAGTTTGAATTTACTAACATAATTGGGAGATTTTCCATTCAAATGCAAATACAGGGAGGTGTTGACAGAAAAGGAAAACCTTTGAAATGAAGAAGAATTACTCCCTGAAGCAGTGCCATGGATGTGAACTTAATACAGTGTCCTTCCTAAAAGAGTATCATCCCTTTGAGGTATCATTTTACTGTATTTTTGCTTAGTATTTTTGTTTACCTTATTTTGGCCACTCCATGACCTTTTTCAGAGTGTTCTAACACTGATTTTGGAAGGGCTGTAATGATTCTTTTTACTTGAATGCAGTCTGTCAGGCCATGGGTGAGTGCCTTGCACATAGTAGACATCAATAAATAAATGAAGGAACATGCATTTTTGTGATGTTAGTAAAGGGTACTCGATTACAAAAGAAAATTCAAAGGAACTCTTTTATGCGATTGTTTGAAACTAGGATAAAAACTTAAAGCAAGTGTCTCAACATATGTTTTATATGTAGTTGCTTTTCAGAAAACATAATATGACCTGAAGTTTACAAAAGCAAATTCGCTAAAGCCAGCTTGGGTGATTGTTGCCCTCTTTCACTTGAATTTTGGAAAAGTAATTGTCTCTAATTTCCAATCAGTATATGTGGCCATTTTTGTGATCATTAATGTTTTTGCAAAAAATAAAATTATTCTTGACTTTTTTTAATCAAGATCCACTTAACCTGAGGAAACCAGCAGAGTGTCCATAGTAAGAATCACAATACCTTATCTACCATTTGGGTTTAGGATTATTAAAATAAAGTGATGGGTACAGAGAAAATGAAAACTCAAAAGATCACAGTGGGAAGAGAATAGCACAGGATTTGAGAGAAGCCTGGGCAGGCCTGGGTGTAAATTACCATATAAAAAGTGGAATTTTCCAAAATTAAGTTAATGATTTATGAGAAGAGACTGCTGAAGTCAGCAGTGACTGTACTGGTTTATTAGGGACAGTTCCAGTTTAAATCAGTGGGTCATTTTAATATGTTAAATATTTAAGTGTCCCCTGTTCATGGCAACATTTCTGTTTAGAATATTTGCAATTTGGTAAGGGGCAAGAGGAATAAACCTTTTAATTGTAGATTTGAGACTTTAAGTTGTAAAACTTTTATGTGAAACTTTTTTTCCACGGGCAGGAAAATTTAAAATCACCTGTCTGATGAGAATTAAGGGAAAATGTTAAAAAAAAAAGGGGGGGGGGCGGTTAACAATGTGAGAATCTGTTCTTAGCTCACATAAAGTATGATTTCTGGCACTTTGGATTTACTTGTGTCAGTATTCCTTACTCCTCCACACTCTAGCCATCAATTTCCTCATTCAAAGGAATTCAAACTGAAATTCTTAGTTTTAATTCATAAGACTACATACAACATTAGGACTAGTTGTTAATATTAGAAAATGATTAATGAATAAGTTAACCAAAATCATAGTTGTATTCTTTATCATCTTTACACAGCTTCCTGATGTTGTTTGTAAAAAATCAAAATTCCAGATCTCAAAAGTGGATTTAGTTTTATCAAATTTTGGAGAAAATTCTTTTTGTGGTTGATTGGTTGATTTTGTGTCAGGCATTTAACCCAGGAGCAGATTACCACTGAGCTACATCCCCAGGTAGGGGTGTGTGTGTGTGTGTGTGTGTGTGTTTTGAGACCAGACTTGAACTTGCAATCCTGTTGCTGGGATTACAGGCCTGTGACACTCTCCCAGCTGATTGGCTTCATACTCTTAACACATTCTTAATTTTGTCCCTCTCCCTCATGCTTGTGGTTTCTGTAGCGGATTAAATATATTCTAGCACCAATACTCAATTCAGCTTTTGTCAAATTTAGTTTTTCTGTTTTAGTAGTTTCCCTAGTACATAAACAGTGATTATGTACTAGGGAAATACAGATTTTTTCTTAACATTCTTTGAAACAAAAGCTTAATTTTTTTTTTTTAAATCTCAGCTGCTTTTAAATTGGCCTTTTAATGAGCTAACAAAAATGGAAATAGATGCTGAGTTTGGCACACACCTGCAAACTAGACTTAAGGAAGCTAAGCAGGAAGAGCACAAGTTGGAGGCCAGTTTCAGCAACTTAACTGAGAGATGAATAATAATGTTTTAATGATGTTTTTACTATAGTTAATGAATTACAAGTTAGCCAGGTATGCCTTTTGTGCTTTATAAAGGCAAAACTTTCACATGTCTAATAAAGTACGCAATAGGAGACCGTTTGTTTCCAAATGAGTTTTAATTTTCCACAGAGAAATGTATTTGCCCCCTGACTTTAGCTTGGTTACCAGGAAAACCCTTTACACAGAACAACACCTACCTCAATCTCTGGTAGGCACCCCTTGGGACTGAGGATCGAACCCAGGGGCTCTGGGCTACTGAACTACAGCTTTGACCCTTTTTATTTTTGAGACGGGCTGTCGCTAAATTGCTCGGGCTAGCGTCCAAATTATGATCCTCCTGTTTCAACCTCTGGAGGAGCTGGGCATAAGAAACTATGTTCAGTTCCTTTCTAATTGAACAATCACAAGGATGGAGAAACTAGTCCGTTTACAGTTTCTTTGTAAACTTTATTGAACTCGGGCACACAACCACTGAGCCACATCCCCAGTCCTATTTTGTATTTTAGACAGGGTCTCACTGAATTGCTTAGTGCCTCGGTTTTGCTGAGGCTGGCTTTGAACTAGCAATCCTCTTACCTCAGCCTACTGAGCAGCTGGGTTTACAAGCCTGCGCCACCACACCTGGCTAAGAGGGTATCTTAACTAGTTTACATACTTTCATGGTCATGATAATTTCTTAAAACTATGGGAAACTCTCAACAGCATATTTAAGAATAATCTTACCCATTTCTTACCCCATTGCAACAACCTCTGTCCTTCTCTGAATCCCCTTTGAAGAAATAGGAACTCTTAGACCAAAAGTGCTCACCCAACGTTTGCTGGGTTTTCCCAGTATACCATTGACTTATAGACCTCTAACAAGACTTATTCTTTATCCTTTTTCTAAAGATTTAGAGGGGAAACTTTTTGAACCAGAAATCTTAAAAAATCTGGGCATTAATTCTGCTCCACTCAATATGGCATAATGGTCAAATAGGCCCTAATGCCACCAGGCAGGAGCAAAACCAAAGCAATCTGCAGCGAAGGCGCTTGCACAGAGTCACCGGCGAAGGGTAGGTCAAAGCTTCACGCATTTCAGAAATGTGTCTAGTTTGGGTAATTTATGAGCCAAGGGTGGGCCTAAGCCTTTGACTAAGGGGCATCAACAAACTCATTTTTTCAAAAAGAAATGCATATTCTTTTTTTGGGGAAAAAAAAGATCCACTGAATCCCAAACTGTCAAATTAGGTCTGGGAAACATTCTGTTAAGATTTCCCACCCTTCCAGGAAAGGATTTGAATTTGCGGGGCGCGAGTGAAAAGGGCCGGAAACTAACATTGCGGCGCAGGCGCAGGCGGACATCTCCTATTGGCCACGTCGGTTCGGGCGTGATTGGGGGAGGGACGGTTCCCTTTTAGCCCTTGCGCCCAGCTTCCTCTCCCACTCTTGTTTGACGCGGCGTTGAGGTGCTGGCTGTTGGTATTTCGGAAGGAACCTTGGCATCCCCAGCCTCTAGTTCCGGTGGCTACGTAGGTTTTTAACTTACGAAAGCTTGTGTTTGAAGTGGTGGTCCGTTCATCCTCCAGTACTTAGTCCCTCAAGACTGGAAGGGTGGCTCTGTGTTCTCCAACCTTCGGAGCTGGGTGGGGGAGGGGCGCTTGATAAGACGTTTTGTGCAACCCCTCCCACCGCCTCCGCTTGGGACCGCCCTATACCTTAACCGAACACGCAACTTTAGTACCGGGCTTGCCGGCAGCGCCAGAATCCTTTTGATTATATTCCCGAGTATTTGACAGGGGCGACTTAAGTATTAGAAGCCGTGCTGGTGATTCTGAAATCGTATTAATTAAAACCGTGTACTTTTTAAATTGCGATTTATTTATTTATTTTTACTGCATGGGTTAGGGCCGGACGTCAACCTACTCTATTGGGGCTTCCGAGCCATGGCGACGAGGGAACCAGGAGATGCCTTGGCACAGTCCACCCTTCCCTCTTCTGCCAGTCACAGCAAGGAAGCGCCTGAAAAACCTAACTATGCTCTCAAACTTACTCTTGTGGGACATACGGCAGCAGTATCATCAGTTAAGTTCAGTCCTAATGGAAAATGGCTAGCAAGTTCTTCTGCTGATAAACTGATTATAATTTGGGGAGCATATGATGGAAAATATGAGAAAACACTATATGGTCACAATCTGGAAATATCAGATGTTGCCTGGTCATCAGATTCTGGTCTTCTTGTTTCTGCCTCAGATGATAAAACTTTGAAGATATGGGATGTGAGGTCTGGAAAATGTTTGAAAACACTGAGGGGACACAGTAATTACGTCTTTTGCTGTAATTTCAATCCGCCATCCAATCTCATCATTTCAGGATCTTTTGATGAGTGTGTGAAAATATGGGAGGTGAAAACAGGAAAGTGCCTCAAGACTTTATCTGCTCACTCTGACCCGATTTCTGCTGTTCAGTTTAATTGTAATGGGTCCTTGATTGTGTCGGGTAGTTATGATGGTCTCTGTAGAATCTGGGATGCTGCTTCAGGTCAGTGTTTAAAAACACTTGTTGATGATGATAACCCTCCTGTCTCTTTTGTAAAATTTTCTCCAAATGGTAAATATATTCTCACTGCAACTTTGAACAATACTCTTAAACTGTGGGATTACAGCAGAGGCAGATGCCTGAAGACTTACACTGGTCATAAGAATGAGAAATACTGCATATTTGCCAGTTTTTCAGTTACTGGTGGAAAGTGGATTGTGTCTGGCTCAGAGGATAACCTGGTTTACATTTGGAACCTTCAAACTAAAGAGATTGTGCAGAAATTACAGGGTCATACAGATGTTGTGATCTCAGCTGCTTGTCATCCTACAGAAAACATCATTGCATCGGCAGCATTAGAAAATGACAAAACAATTAAACTGTGGATGAATAACTACTAAAGCCAAGTTAGCAAAAAACTTATTTGAAAGATGGTTTTCTAACTGGTATGGTTTTTATTTCTTTTAAAAAATTACCTTCAATTATAAGACTTACAGATTTATAATTCAAGAATACAAGACAAGACAGTTGCGAAGACAAGTCTAGAATCTACCTGGGGCTTTTGACTCCTAATCTTGATGCCTGTTAGGAATCTCAGATATATTTGTCCCTGTACAGGTTTCTATTCTGTTCCTCTTAGTAACTTTTGTAGAGGCTTGGTTTACTTGGGAAATAGTTCAATTAGACAGCATGACTGATTGAGGTGGGCAAGAAATTTTGCAGTTTCTGATTTGGGAGGTCAAATGAACAAGAGCATGAGGCTAGGGTGGGTAATAAGAAGACTGTAGATACATGTCACGTGCCTCCAGCACTTTTAGTGATATGTGATGGAACATGAAACAGTATATAGAATTACGTCAGTAAGTTGGGGAAAGTAAGTCCTGATTTTTTAATTAAAGGACCTCTGCCTCATTAGATAGTGCCATCTTGTGATGGCAATGTATGCTACATTGAGTGGTGAGGCTGCGCTCCTTCAGGATGTTACCTATTAACTCACATACTTCAGACTCATTGTACAGAAGTTACTTCTTGTGCCATCACTGCCTGTCTCCCTCCAACCTCAGTGGACAGATGAATTAGATGTTCTTGCTTTTTCTATAATTCCTAAAACTCAAAATACATTATTTACCAATGTGTCATAATGTTTTCATGGGCCATGTTTCCAGCAGATAATGAGCTCTGTGGGATCAGGAAGTTTTGATCCCACAGAGCTGATTATTCACCTTTGTATTCTGTTTGATGAATGACAATGAATGTGATGCCACAGCTTCCTTTATTCCTGGCCTCCTTTCAATAGGTTTTAGTAATAAATTCCCAATAATATCATTATTGATTAAAAAGTGTCTAACCCTAGCCACACATATTAACTTTATTCACCAAAGCTTGCAGGAAATGTAAGGTAAAAAATATAAAGTAGAAAATGGTTTCTACCATGCAGACATGAAACAAATACAAAAAAAAAAAATCTAGACATTAAGCGAAAATTAGTACAACAGTAATTTTAACTGAAAGCAATAAAGGCATAACTGTCTTGCTTCTTTTATATTTTATAGCACCTCATCAATTGCTCATTAAATTGTATTTGACAAATTCTGAGGAATATATTATAGTGACTAGTAGAGTGCTGAGAGCTTTCTGAAGAATAAGTTACTAGTCAGGTATTAGTGTTAAGAGGTTGATATATCGGGCTGGGGATGTGGCTCAAGCAGTAGCGCACTCGCCTGGCATGCATGCAGCCCGGGTTCGATCCTCAGCACCACATACAAACAAAGATGTTGTGTCTGCCAAAAACTGAAAAATAAATATTGAAATTCTCTCTCTCTCTCTCTTAAAAAAAAAAAAAGAGGTTGATATATGAGAACATTGGGAAGAGTATAGTGTTAGTGTTAGAGGCAGGTCTGAAATTGTGGCTAAGAAATTTACATTTAACCCATAAAGAACAGTCATAGTGAGCTGGGGTTGTGGCTCAGTGGTAGAGCACTCGCCTAGCACTTGAGAGGCCCTGGGTTCGATCCTCAGTACCACATAAAAATAAAACAAAGGTATTATGTTCAACTACTTCTAAAAAATAATCCTAGTATGTTATTAAATAGAGAATAACAATGAGAAATGATTGTGTGAATGGTAACAATTATGAGCCATTAGTTTAATGAGACATTTTTAATTTTTATTAAAATAAACCTACAGGAATCACATTTAAATGTTCTTCAACAGTTAAAAATGGTTTCTATGAAGAAAGGTTAATACTTTTAAAAGAAGTACTACATTAAAATCTACCCAAATTTAAAACACTGGTTTAGGAGTCCCAAAATAATCAAGAAAAATGAATCTTCTAAAATGTATGAGAAACAATAATGCTTTTATTTTGGCAGCAGGGATTGAACTCAGGGACACTAGACCACTGAGCCACATCCCCAGTCCTATTTTGATTTTTAAGAGACAGGGTCTCACTGAGTTGCTTAGGGGCTTGATTTTGCTGAGGCTGGCCTTGAACTCTCCAGCCTCAGCCTCCCAAGCCTCCCAAGCCCCACACCTAGAACAACAATGCTTTTTGATAACTTTGCAAGTGATATCTAAAAGGAAGCTAAAGTCAGACTTCTCTAGAATAAAGTATATAAACAGATAACATCAGATTAAGAAGCTATAATGTGTTAGATTATACCTAGCATTTTATTAAACGAAGCTCCCAAACAGCAGCATATATTACTTTTTAATTTCTATTATAACTGAGGAGAACTAGCACATTGGGATGACTATACTGACTTGACATCCATTAATACTAATGAGGCATATTGAGAATAATGAAGTGGTTATCATAGAAACCATCATCCATATGTAAGTGAGACAACTTGGCATCCCAAAGTCAAAACTAAATGAGATGTAGGCTCATCTTTCACACTAATAAGAACATGAGATTTTCATAAGGAATTTAGTTTCTCAGGCAGCAGGAAAGGAATCAATTGGGAACCATTATCCATGGAGCTAGGAAGTGACTGCTGTGGCCCCCAGCAAATCCATGATGCTATAATTTCTAAGTCCCCCAAACTCCTGGCCAGACCATTCTCATCACCTTGCCAGAACATTTTCAAATAATGTTCTCCAAAGAAACTTCATCTTTGAGATCCCAAAGATACAGTGAGGTCTGGCTGCTTCTCAGGGCTTTCTCAGGAGCCAGCCTCCCCAAAGCACCATAACATTGTAATCACCTGGGCAATGTCATCTGATCCTCCTTACCCTTTAGAAATAAGTACCAGAGGGAGAAATACAGAATGAGAAGCCATTCTGGCTGCTGGAGAGAAGTCACTTTAGTAATGGGAACAAAACTAATAAATCAGATACCAGATTCTAACAGTTAATATTAAGGCTGAAGTAAGTTGTCTCATTTTTAAATTTTTTCCAAAAAGCTGGGAGACTGCATTTTACTTGGATTAAAGCCACAAAACATAAAACAAGTCTTTAAGAAAATTTATTTGTATATCTATAGCAGAAAATAGGGAAAGAGTCTGTGCAAAACATATAGTGATGAAGTGGAGCCTCACCATATCCTTTTAAATACAGGCTTGCTGCAACATTATTCCTGGATTTTCAAAATCCAGCCAGGACGGATGCTTCTCTGCTACTCTGTTTTAGCCTTCATGGCTGCTTCCTCTCTGAGACGAGCTTTCTTTTCTAAGTTCAAGCTTGTTAAAGACTCATTTCTTTTGGCAGCCTAAAATGAAGTAAATTTGAACAGGCGATTATGTCAAGTTGAAGAGAATGTCATTATCTTACAGTGAGGACAGCAGGGTCCTCCACACGTGTTCTATATCCTGTGATGCTCCAGACTACAGTAGCCTATCTAAGCACAAGATTAGTGTATACCTCTCCCTTTCTGGCCTCTTTCTATAGATTTGCAGCTTCTTTTCCTTACATTTTTCATTCCCTTGTTTTTCCCTTTTTCTTCCCTTCCTCTCCACTTCTCGTTGATATTAAGTACCTTCTCAATTTCCATTTTTTCTCCTTTTACTTTTCTTTGTTGCTACACTTCTCCTTCCCAACTCTTCTAGCTCCTTACTGGAGCTTACTTACATAAACAGATTAGTATGGTATAGAACATGAGAGGAACTCATGCACATATGGCTTGGATGGTGCGAAAAGAAATCCCAAATATTTGCTTCTGCAGTAAACAAACTCAGCAAGTTTAAACAAATATACAAAAGCAGTGCACTTTTCTGAGAATTCTGAAAACCCACATGTCCTCTTCAGAAGCTTCTGAAGGTTTCAATCTGAGAACTATGCATGAGAGGTCAAAGATGGAGACAGGGAAAACTGAAGTGGTACAGCATCAGTGTTTTCAAGAGAACTTGGCCTAGGTCAGCAATCTTGCCCCTTTGTGCACCTGTGAGGTCAGCTTAAAATGGGCAGTGTTTTCATTTAACTGCAAGACTCTAAAGAGAGCCAGAAGTTCATTTCCTTTTACTCTGAAGTCACTGAGGATAAGGAAATAGTTAACAATGGGTGTGTAGAAGAATCTTTTTAGTATCTGTTAATAGTTATAAGACATCTCTTCCAACATGGAAGCTGTAACACATAGTACCAGACATTAAAAGATAGTTTTGACCAGCACTACTGAATATAAAAATAACTAATAAGATAAAATACTAGGAGGTTTGGTAACATGCAAATCTGGATCTAAATTTTTGCTTTGATACTTTGAGTTTGGGAAAATTATTGAGCATCTCTAAGTTTCAATTTCTTCCTTTATTAAAAAACAGTAATAAGAAAACTATATCTCAGGTTCTGAGGATTATTATGGTGAGTAAATGAGCTTAAAAGTTTACCCTTCTACATGGTAAGCACTCAATAAATGGGAAAAATTTTACTCTACTTCCATTAGGCAGCTCTGTTATAAGGGAGTTGTGTAGCCTTAGGTAAGTTACTTAAGCTTTCCAGGCTAGTTTCCTCATCTATAAATGAGTACCTATCTTACAGTGCTGCTGTGAGGTTCAAATGAGACAATAATAGCCAAGTATCTGGAACGCAGTAAGAATTCAATTAGCAATAGCTGTTAATTATAATCTATTGAAAAAAAGATTTCTAGATTTTCATTCCTATGTGCTATTTAGAAGCAGTGGTCCTTAAACATGGCTACATTTGGCTGAGCCTCAAATAAAGAATCATGATAAGATGTTCATCATGATTAAGGCAGTTATAGTAAGGATAAATAAGTCCAAGTACTGACAGTGCTTTATAAATATGCAAAGTGCTTTAAAATACCACTGTCCTATTTCTTGTTTCATGTTATTTATGTTATTTATGACAACTATGATAACACTTTTTTACACAAAACTAATATTTCTTCATCATGCCAAAATTAGGCCTTGCTATTTATCCTGACACAATAGCTCATGTTTGTCCCACTTTGTCTTTTGTTTCCTATCATTTCTTGTGTAGAAAATAGCCTCTTCTTGGTCAGTAAACACAAGGGTCAATCCCTGCTTTCCTCCTGGTTCTTTGTGAAGAGAATTCAGACACAGGGGAACCCAGTCTCACCTTCTTGCCCTCGATAATCATCAGGATGCATCCTACCACTGTCAAGGCGATCATTATATAGCTAACCTTTACCCGAATCTTGTTCTTTGCAGCATCAAGCATCTCAAACCTAATAATACAATGTGATCAAGAGACAATGTTAGTAACTTTTCTATTTCTGAAGTTGCAGCAAAATATCAAGTTCTGTGTACCATAGTTCAGAAGTAAAGTGTCTATAAACGTTTAAAAAAGGAGGTAGGAACTGGAGATCTCATAGATTCTTTGGGAGGATGGGCCATTTTCATAACTCATTTATGTGTTTAACAGCAAGATAACAAAAATTTAATTCAAAATAAGTAAGAAGACAATAATAAAGAAAGAGCCAGGAACAAAGCAAACAAAAATAAAAAATAAAAAAAAACCCAACCCCCCAAACCAGCAAGGCACATTAAACTACTTTTGCTATGGTGAGCCCCAATTTTGGCTCTCAGGTTTCCAGCAGCCAACACTAAAAATGAAACCATTAGCTGATTCTCCTTTGGGTTCTTAAGAAAATATGTGATATAGTGATTGAAGAATGCCTTGGTAATAGATACTGCTATGAGCTTCCAACACAAAGTACAATTCGGAAAGAAAAACCAATATGAGAAAGTCAAACAATGTGCTCTATATAATCTGTCTTTTTGCTCTGTCTTGAACTAGGAATAGATTTGAGAATATCTGAGCCTGTAGAAAGATCCTTTAAGTGACAGTCCCTTAATGTTTATCTTTTAACTAATGATTTGCTAAAACTGAGTGAAAGTTTGCTTTGGCAAGTGCCTGGAGTATAGTAGCTCTTCTAATCTGTCCTCTTGAGTGTACACACATGTGCCCCAATAGAAAGTTGGGGGTTGGATCATCATCTTGGATGAAAGCCAAGGGGCATAACATGGAAGAGTCTAAAGAGAAAGCCACTCTATCTTGGTTATTTTGTAGGTAGACAGTGGTTCTATTGCCTGGATGCCTGTAGAATCTCAAGGCACACAGCATGTGGAGTCATAAGTGGGCCCGAGATAAAGAATTTCTGGTCTCCTCCAAAGTATACACAGGGAAGTAATCATCTTTAGATGATGGAATTGGAGTGCTTTTTAGCTTTTCCTCCCCCACATCTTTAACACAAATTATTTTGAAAAATCAGATGGGGAAATGGTTTTTAAAAAATGCTCGGAAGGAGGCACAGGGCTTGGAATGTTGCAGGTGGATAGGAGGAGGACCCTTAAATATGATATGAGCTGGGAACTACAAGGCAGCAATGTGGAAGGAGTT